GCTCTTCCCTCTCTTTCATGCTCTCCCTCTCTTTCATGCTCTCCCTCTCTTCATGCTCTCCCTCTCTTTCATGCTCTCCCTCTCTTTCATGCTCTCCCTCTCTTTCATGCTCTCCTCTCTTTCATGCTCTCCCTCTCTTCATGCTCTCCTCTCTTCATGCTCCCTCTCTTCATGCTCTCCCTCTCTTTCATGCTCTCCCTCTCTTTTCATGCTCTCCCTCTCTTTCATGCTCTCCCTCTCTTTCATGCTCTCCCTCTCTCTTTCATGCTCTCCCTCTCTTTCATGCTCTCCCTCTCTTTCATGCTCTCCCTCTCTTTCATGCTCTCCCTCTCTTTCATGCTCTCCCTCTCTTTCATGCTCTCCCTCTCTTCATGCTCTCCCTCTCTTTCATGCTCTCCCTCTCTTTCATGCTCTCCCTCTCTTTCATGCTCTCCCTCTCTTTCATGCTCTCCCTCTCTTTCATGCTCTCCCTCTCTTTCATGCCTCTCCCTCTCTTTCATGCCTCTCCCTCTCTTTCATGCTCTCCCTCTCTTTCATGCTCTCCCTCTCTTTCATGCTCTCCCTCTCTTTCATGCTCTCCCTCTCTTTCATGCTCTCCCTCTCTTTCATGCTCTCCCTCTCTTCATGCTCTCCCTCTCTTTCATGCTCTCCCTCTCTTTCATGCTCTCCCTCTCTTTCATGCTCTCCCTCTCTTTCATGCTCTCCCTCTCTTTCATGCTCTCCCTCTCTTTCATGCTCTCCCTCTCTTTCATGCTCTCCCTCTCTTTCATGCTCTCCCTCTCTTTCATGCTCTCCTCTCTTCATGCTCTCCCTCTCTTTCATGCTCTCCCTCTCTTTCATGCTCTCCCTCTCTTTCATGCTCTCCCTCTCTTTCATGCTCTCCCTCTCTTTCATGCTCTCCCTCTCTTTCATGCTCTCCCTCTCTTTCATGCTCTCCCTCTCTTTCATGCTCTCCCTCTCTTTCATGCTCTCCCTCTCTTTCATGCTCTCCCTCTCTTTCATGCTCTCCTCTCTTTCATGCTCTCCCTCTCTTTCATGCTCTCCTCTCTTTCATGCTCTCCCTCTCTTTCATGCTCTCGCCTCTCTTTCATGCTCTCCCTCTCTTTCATGCTCTCCCTCTCTTTCATGCTCTCCCTCTCTTTCATGCTCTCCTCCTCTTTCATGCTCTCCCTCTCTTTCATGCTCTCCCTCTCTTTCATGCTCTCCCTCTCTTTTCAATGCTCTCCTCTCTTTCATGCCTCCCTCTCTTTCATGCTCTCCCTCTCTTCATGCTCTCCCTCTCTTCATGCTCTCCCTCTCTTTCATGCTCTCCCTCTCTTTCATGCTCTCCCTCTCTTCAATGCTCTCCCTCTCTTTCATGCTCTCCCTCTCTTTCATGCTCTCCTTCATGCTCTCCTCTCTTTCATGCTCTCCCTCTCTTTCATGCTCTCCCTCTCTTTCATGCTCTCCCTCTCTTCATGCTCTCCTCTCTTTCATGCGCTCCCTCTCTTTCATGCTCTCCCTCTCTTTCATGCTCTCCCTCTCTTTCATGCTCTCCCTCTCTTTCATGCTCTCACCTCTCTTTCATGCTCTCCCTCTCTTTCAATGCTCTCCCTCTCTTTCATGCTCTCCCTCTCTTTCATGCTCTCCCTCTCTTTCATGCTCTCCCTCTCTTTCATGCTCTCCTCTCCTCTCTTTCATGCTCTCCCTCCTCTCTTTCATGCTCTCCCTCTCTTTCATGCTCTCCCTCTCTTTCATGCTCTCCCTCTCTTTCAATGCTCTCCCTCTCTTTCATGCTCTCCCTCTCTTCATGCTCTCCCTCTCTTCATGCTCTCCCTCTCTTTCATGCTCTCCCCTCTTTCATGCTCCTCCCTCTCTTTCATGCTTCTCCTCTTCATCCTCTCCCTCTCTTTCATGCTCTCCCTCTCTTTCATGCTCTCCCCTTCTTTCATGCTCTCCTCCTTTCATGCTCTCCCTCTCTTTCATGCTCTCCCTCTCTTTCATGCTCTCCCTCTCTTTCATGCTCTCCCTCTCTTTCATGCTCTCCCTCTCTTCATGCTCTCCCTCTCTTTCATGCTCTCCCTCTCTTTCATGCTCTCCCTCTCTTTCATGCTCTCCCTCTCTTTCATGCTCTCCCTCTCTTTCATGCTCTCCCTCTTCATGCTCGTCCCTCTCTTCATGCTCTCCCTCTCTTTCATGCTCTCCCTCTCTTTCATGCTCTCCCTCTCTTTCATGCTCTCCCCTCTCTTTCATGCTCTCCGCTCTGTCTATCATGCTCTCCCTCTCTTTCATGCTCTCCCTCTCTTTATGCTCATCCTCTCTTTCATGCTCTCCCTCTCTTTCATGCTCTCCCTCTCTTTCATGCTCTCCTCTCTTTCATGCTCTCACCTCTCTTTCATGCTCTCCCTCTCTTTCATGCTCTCCCTCTCTTTCATGCTCTCCCTCTCTTTCATGCTCTCCCTCTCTTTCATGCTCTCCCTCTCTTTCATGCTCTCCCTCTCTTTCATGCTCTCCCTCTCTTTCATGCTCTCCCTCTCTTTCATGCTCTCCCTCTCTTTCATGCTCTCCCTCTCTTTCATGCTCTCCCTCTCTTTCATGCTCTCCCTCTCTTTCATGCTCTCCCTCTCTTTCATGCTCTCCTCTCTTCATCTCTCCTTTTCATGCTCTCCCTCTCTTTCATGCTCTCCCTCTCTTTCATGCTCTCCCTCTCTTTCATGCTCTCCTCTCTTTCATGCTCTCCCTCTCTTTCATGCTCTCCCTCTCTTTCATGCTCTCCCTCTCTTTCATGCTCTCCCTCTCTTTCATGCTCTCCTCTCTTTCATGCTCTCCCTCTCTTTCATGCTCTCCCTCTCTTTCATGCTCTCCCTCTCTTTCATGCTCTCCCTCTCTTTCATGCTCTCCTCTCTTTCATGCTCTCCCTCTCTTTCATGCTCTCCCTCTCTTTCATGCTCTCCCTCTCTTTCATGCTCTCCCTCTCTTTCATGCTCTCCCTCTCTTTCATGCTCTCCCTCTCTTTCATGCTCTCCCTCTCTTTCATGCTCTCCCTCTCTTTCATGCTCTCCCTCTCTTTCATGCTCTCCCTCTCTTTCATGCTCTCCCTCTCTTTCATGCTCTCCCTCTCTTTCATGCTCTCCCTCTCTTTCATGCTCTCCCTCTCTTTCATGCTCTCCCTCTCTTTCATGCTCTCCCTCTCTTTCATGCTCTCCCTCTCTTTCATGCTCTCCCTCTCTTTCATGCTCTCCCTCTCTTTCATGCTCTCCCTCTCTTTCATGCTCTCCCTCTCTTTCATGCTCTCCCTCTCTTTCATGCTCTCCCTCTCTTTCATGCTCTCCCTCTCTTTCATGCTCTCCCTCTCTTTCATGCTCTCCCTCTCTTTCATGCTCTCCCTCTCTTTCATGCTCTCCCTCTCTTTCATGCTCTCCCTCTCTTTCATGCTCTCCTCTCTTTCATGCTCTCCCTCTCCTTTCATGCTCTCCCTCTCTTTCATGCTCTCCTCTCTTTCATGCTCTCCCTCTCTTTCATGCTCTCCCTCTCTTTCATGCTCTCCCTCTCTTTCATGCTCTCCCTCTCTTTCATGCTCTCCCTCTCTTTCATGCTCTCCCTCTCTTTCATGCTCTCCCTCTCTTTCATGCTCTCCCTCTCTTTCATGCTCTCCCTCTCTTTCATGCTCTCCCTCTCTTTCATGCTCTCCCTCTCTTCATGCTCTCCCTCTCTTTCATGCTCTCCCTCTCTTTCATGCTCTCCCTCTCTTTCATGCTCTCCCTCTCTTTCATGCTCTTCCCTCTCTTTCATGCTCTCCCTCTCTTTCATGCTCTCCCTCTCTTTCATGCTCTCCCTCTCTTTCATGCTCTCCTCTCTTTCTGCTCTCCCTCTCTTTCATGCTCTCCCTCTCTTTCATGCTCTCCCTCTCTTTCATGCTCTCCCTCTCTTTCATGCTCTCCCCTCTCTTTCATGCTCTCTCCCTCTCTTTCATGCTCTCCCTCCCCTCTTTTCATGCTCTCCCTCTCTTTCATGCTCTCCCTCTCTTTCATGCTCTCCCTCTCTTTCATGCTCTCCCTCTCTTTCATGCTCTCCCTCATCTTTCATGCTCTCCCTCTCTTTCATGCTCTCCTCTCTTTCATGCTCTCCCTCTCTTTCATGCTCTCCTCTCTTTCATGCTCTCCCTCTCTTTCATGCTCTCCCTCTCTTTCATGCTCTCCCTCTCTTTCATGCTCCTCCCTCTCTTTCATGCTCTCCCTCTCTTTCATGCTCTCACCTCTCTTTCATGCTCTCCTCTCTTTCATGCTCTCCCTCTCTTTCATGCTCTCCCTCTCTTTCATGCTCTCCCTCTCTTTCATGCTCTCCCTCTCTTTCATGCTCTCCCTCTCTTTCATGCTCTCCCTCTCTTTCATGCTCTCCCTCTCTTTCATGCTCTCCCTCTCTTTCATGCTCTCGCCTCTCTTTCATGCTCTCCCTCTCTTTCATGCTCTCCCTCTCTTTCATGCTCTCCTCATCTTTCGTGCTTCAATCCCTTCTCTTTCATGCTCTCCCTCTCTTTCATGCTCTCCCTCTCTTTCATGCTCTCCCTCTCTTCATGCTCTCCCTCTCTTTCATGCTCTCCCTCTCTTTCATGCTCTCCCCTCTCTTTCATGCTCTCCCTCTCTTTCATGCTCTCCTCTCTTTCATTGCTCTCCCTCTCTTTCATGCTCTCCCTCTCTTTCATGCTCTCCCTCTCTTTCATGCTCTCCCTCTCTTTCATGCTCTCCCTCTCTTTCATGCTCTCCCTCTCTTTCATGCTCTCCCTCTCTTCATGCTCTCCCTCTCGTTCATGCTCTCCCTCTCTTTCATGCTCCCCTCTCTTTCATGCTCTCCCTCTCTTTCATGCTCTCCTCTCTTTCATGCTCTCCCTCTCTTTCATGCTCTCCCTCTCTTTCAATGCTCTCCCTCTCTTTCATGCTCTCCCTCTCTTTCATGCTCTCCCTCTCTTTCATGCTCTCCCTCTCTTTCATGCTCTCCCTCTCTTTCATGCTCTCCCTCTTCAGCTCTCCCCTCTCTTTCATGCTCTCCCTCTCTTTCATGCTCTCCCCTCTCATTTCGTATGCTCTCCCTCTCTTTCATGCTCTCCCGCGTCTTTCATGCTCTCCCTCTCTTTCATGCTCTCCCTCTCTTTCATGCTCTCCTCTCTTTCATGCTCTCCTCTCTTCATGCTCTCCCTCTCTTCATGCTCTCCCTCTCTTTCATGCTCTCCCTCTCTTTCATGCTCTCCCTCTCTTTCATGCTCTCCCTCTTCATGCTCTCCTTTCATGCTCTCCCTCTCTTTTCATGCTCCTCCCTCTCTTTCATGCTCTCCCTCTCTTTCATGCTCTCCCTCTCTTTCATGCTCTCCCTCTCTTTCATGCTCTCCCTCTCTTTCATGCTCTCCCTCTCTTTCATGCTCTCCCTCTCTTTCAGTGCTCTCCCTCTCTTTCATGCTCTCCCTCTCTTTCATGCTCTCCCTCTCTTTCATGCTCTCCCTCTCTTTCATGCTCTCCCTCTCTTTCATGCTCTCCCTCTCTTTCATGCTCTCCCTCTCTTTCATGCTCTCCCTCTCTTTCATGCTCTCCCTCTCTTTCATGCTCTCCCTCTCTTTCATGCTCTCCCTCTCTTTCATGCTCTCCCTCTCTTCATGCTCTCCCTCTCTTTCATGCTCTCCCTCTCTTTCATGCTCTCCCTCTCTTTCATGCTCTCCCTCTCTTTCATGCTCTCCCTCTCTTTCACTCTCTCCCTCTCTTTCATGCTCTCCCTCTCTTTCATGCTCTCCCTCTCTTTCATGCTCTCCCTCTCTTTCATGCTCTCCCTCTCTTTCATGCTCCTCCTCTCTTTCATGCTCTCCCTCTCTTTCATGCTCCCCCTCTCTTTCATGCTCTCCCTCTCTTTCATGCTCTCCCTCTCTTTCATGCTCTCCCTCTCTTTCATGCTCTCCCTCTCTTTCATGCTCTCCCTCTCTTTCATGCTCTCCCTCTCTTTTCATGCTCTCCCTCTCTTTCATGCTCTCCCTCTCTTTCATGCTCTCCCTCTCTTTCATGCTCTCCCTCTCTTTCATGCTCTCCCTCTCTTTCATGCTCTCCCGCTCTTTAATGCTCTCCCTCTCTTTCATGCTCTCACCTCTCTTTACATGCTCTCACCTCTCTTTCATGCTCTCCCTCTCTTTCATGCTCTCCCTCTCTTTCATGCTCTCCCTCTCTTTCATGCTCTCCCTCTCTTCATGCTCTCCCTCTCTTTCATGCTCTCCCTCTCTTTCATGCTCTCCCTCTCTTTCATGCTCCCCTCTCTTCTCTTCATGCTCTCCTCCTCTTTTCATGCTCCCCTCTCTTTCATGCTCTCCTCTCTTCATGCTCTCCCTCTCTTTCCATGCTCTCCCGCTCTTTCATGCTCTCCCTCTTCTCTCTCCTCTCTTCATGCTCTCCCTCTCTTTCATGCTCTCCCTCTCTTTCATGCTCTCCCTCTCTTTCATGCTCTCCCCTCTCTTTCATGCTCTCCCTCTCTTTCATGCTCTCCCTCTCTTTCATGCTCTCCCTCTCTTTCTGCTCTCCCTCTCTATTCATGCTCTCCCTCTCTTTCATGCTCTCCCTCTCTTTCATGCTCTCCCTCTCTTTCATGCTCTCCCTCTCTTTCATGCTCTCCCTCTCTTTCATGCTCTCCCTCTCTTTCTGCTCCCCTCTCTTTCATGCTCTCCCTCTCCTTTCATGCTCTCCCTCTCTTCATGCTCTCCCTCTCTTTCATGCTCTCCCTCTCTTTCATGCTCTCCCTCTCTTTCATGCTCTCCCTCTCTTTCATGCTCTCCCTCTCTTTCATGCTCTCCCTCTCTTTCATGCTCTTCCCTCTCTTTCATGCTCTCCCTCTCTTTCATGCTCTCCCTCTCTTTCATGCTCTCCCTCTCTTTCATTGCTCTCCCTCTCTTTCATGCTCTCCCTCTCTTTCATGCTCTCCCTCTCTTTCATGCTCTCCCTCTCTTTCATGCTCTCCCTCTCTTTCATGCTCTCCCTCTCTTTCATGCTCTCCCTCTCTTTCATGCTCTCCCTCTCTTTCATGCTCTCCCTCTCTTTCATGCTCTCCCTCTCTTTCATGCTCTTCCCTCTCTTTCATGCTCTCCCTCTCTTTCATGCTCTCCCTCTCTTTCATGCTCTCCCTCTCTTTCATGCTCTCCCTCTCTTTCATGCTCTCCCTCTGCTTTCATGCTCTCCCTCTCTTTCATGCTCTCCCCTCTCTTTCATGCTCTCCCTCTCTTTCATGCTCTCCCTCTCTTCATGCTCTCCTCTCTTTCATGCTCTCCTCTCTTTCATGCTCTCCCTCTCTTTCATGCTCTCCCTCTCTTTCTGCTCTCCCTCTCTTTCATGCTCTCCCTCTCTTTCATGCTCTCCCTCTCTTTCATGCTCTCCCTCTCTTTCATGCTCTCCCTCTCTTTCATGCTCTCCCTCTCTTTCATGCTCTCCCTCTCTTTCATGCTCTCCCTCTCTTTCATGCTCTCCCTCTCTTTCATGCTCTCCCTCTCTTTCATGCTCTCCCTCTCTTTCATGCTCTCCCTCTCTTTCATGCTCTCCCTCTCTTTCATGCTCTCCCTCTCTTTCATGCTCTCCCTCTCTTTCATTGCTCTCCCTCTCTTTCATGCTCTCCCTCTCTTTCATGCTCTCCCTCTCTTTCATGCTCTCCCTCTCTTTCATGCTCTCCCTCTCTTTCATGCTCTCCCTCTCTTTCATGCTCTCCCTCTCTTTCATGCTCTCCCTCTCTTTCATGCTCTCCCTCTCTTCATGCTCTCCCTCTCTTTCATGCTCTCCCTCTCTTTCATGCTCTCCCTCTCTTTCATGCTCTCCCTCTCTTTCATGCTCTCCCTCTCTTCATGCTCTCCCTCTCTTTCATGCTCTCCCTCTCTTTCATGCTCTCCCTCTCTTTCATGCTCTCCCTCTCTTTCATGCTCTCCCTCTCTTCATGCTCTCCCTCTCTTTCATGCTCTCCCTCTCTTCATGCTCTCCCTCTCTTTCATGCTCTCCCTCTCTTTCATGCTCTCCCTCTCTTTCATGCTCTCCCTCTCTTCATGCTCTCCCTCTCTTTCATGCTCTCCCCTCTCTTTCATGCTCTCCCTCTCTTTCATGCTCTCCTCTTCCTTTCATGCTCTCCCTCTCTTTCATGCTCTCCCTCTCTTTCATGCTCTCCCTCTCTTTCATGCTCTCCCTCTCTTTCATGCTCTCCCTCTCTTCATGCTCCCCTCTCTTTCATGCTCTCCCTCTCTTCATGCTCTCCCTCTCTTTCATGCTCTCCCTCTCTTTCATGCTCTCCCTCTCTTTCATGCTCTCCCTCTCTTTCATGCTCTCCCCTCTCTTTCATGCTCTCCCTCTCTTTCATGCTCTCCCTCTCTTTCATGCTCTCCCTCTCTTTCATGCTCTCCCTCTCTTTCATGCTCTCCCTCTCTTTCATGCTCTCCCTCTCTTTCATGCTCTCCCTCTCTTCATGCTCTCCCTCTCTTTCATGCTCCCTCCTTTCATGCTCTCCTCTTTCATGCTCTCCCTCTCTTTCATGCTCTCCCTCTCTTTCATGCTCTCCCTCTCTTTCATGCTCTCCCTCTCTTTCATGCTCTCCCTCTCTTTCATGCTCTCCCTCTCTTTCATGCTCTCCCTCTCTTCATGCTCTCCTCTTCTTTCATGCTCTCACCTCTCTTTCATGCTCTCCTCTCTTTCATGCTCTCCCTCTCTTTCATGCTCTCCCTCTCTTTCATGCTCTCCCTCTCTTTCATGCTCTCCTGCTCTCCTTTCATGCTCTCCCTTCTCTTTCATGCTCTCCCTCTCTTTCATGCTCTCCCTCTCTTTCATGCTCTCCTCTCTTTCATGCTCTCCTCTCTTTCATGCTCTCCCTCTCTTTCATGCTCTCCCTCTCTTTCATGCTCTCCCTCTCTTTCATGGCTCTCCTCTCTTTCATGCTCTCCCTCTCTTTCTCTCTCCCTCTCTTTCATGCTCTCCCTCTCTTTCATGCTCTCCCTCTCTTTCGTGCTCTCTCCCTCTCTTTCATGCTCTCCCTCTCTTTCATGCTCTCCCTCTCTTTCATGCTCTCCCTCTCTTTCATGCTCTCCCTCTCTTTCATGCTCTCCCTCTCTTTCATGCTCTCCCTCTCTTTCATGCTCTCCCTCTCTTTCATGCTCTCCCATCTCTTTCATGCTCCTCCTCTCTTCTGCTCTCCCTCTCTTTCTCCCTCTCTTTCATGCTCTCCCTCTCTTTCATGCTCTCCCTCTCTTTCATGCTCTCCCTCTCTTTCATGCTCTCCCTCTCTTTCATGCTCTCCCTCTCTTTCATGCTCTCCCTCTCTTTCATGCTCTCCCTCTCTTTCATGCTCTCCCTCTCTTTCATGCTCTCCCTCTCTTTCATGCTCTCCCTCTCTTTCATGCTCTCCCTCTCTTTCATGCTCTCCCTCTCTTTCATGCTCTCCCTCTCTTTCATGCTCTCCCTCTCTTTCATGCTCTCCCTCTCTTTCATGCTCTCCCTCTCTTTCATGCTCTCCCTCTCTTTCATGCTCTCCCTCTCTTTCATGCTCTCCCTCTCTTTCATGCTCTCCCTCTCTTTCATGCTCTCCCTCTCTTTCATGCTCTCCCTCTCTTTCATGCTCTCCCTCTCTTTCATGCTCTCCCTCTCTTTCATGCTCTCCCTCTCTTTCATGCTCTCCCTCTCTTTCATGCTCTCCCTCTCTTTCATGCTCTCCCTCTCTTTCATGCTCTCCCTCTCTTTCATGCTCTCCCTCTCTTTCATGCTCTCCCTCTCTTTCATGCTCTCCCTCTCTTTCATGCTCTCCCTCTCTTTCATGCTCTCCCTCTCTTTCATGCTCTCCCTCTCTTTCATGCTCTCCCTCTCTTTCATGCTCTCCCTCTCTTTCATGCTCTCCCTCTCTTTCATGCTCTCCCTCTCTTTCATGCTCTCCCTCTCTTTCATGCTCTCCCTCTCTTTCATGCTCTCCCTCTCTTTCATGCTCTCCCTCTCTTTCATGCTCTCCCTCTCTTTCATGCTCTCCCTCTCTTTCATGCTCTCCCTCTCTTTCATGCTCTCCCTCTCTTTCATGCTCTCCCTCTCTTTCATGCTCTCCCTCTCTTTCATGCTCTCCCTCTCTTTCATGCTCTCCCTCTCTTTCATGCTCTCCCTCTCTTTCATGCTCTCCCTCTCTTTCATGCTCTCCCTCTCTTTCATGCTCTCCCTCTCTTTCATGCTCTCCCTCTCTTTCATGCTCTCCCTCTCTTTCATGCTCTCCCTCTCTTTCATGCTCTCCCTCTCTTTCATGCTCTCCCTCTCTTTCATGCTCTCCCTCTCTTTCATGCTCTCCCTCTCTTTCATGCTCTCCCTCTCTTTCATGCTCTCCCTCTCTTTCATGCTCTCCCTCTCTTTCATGCTCTCCCTCTCTTTCATGCTCTCCCTCTCTTTCATGCTCTCCCTCTCTTTCATGCTCTCCCTCTCTTTCATGCTCTCCCTCTCTTTCATGCTCTCCCTCTCTTTCATGCTCTCCCTCTCTTTCATGCTCTCCCTCTCTTTCATGCTCTCCCTCTCTTTCATGCTCTCCCTCTCTTTCATGCTCTCCCTCTCTTTCATGCTCTCCCTCTCTTTCATGCTCTCCCTCTCTTTCATGCTCTCCCTCTCTTTCATGCTCTCCCTCTCTTTCATGCTCTCCCTCTCTTTCATGCTCTCCCTCTCTTTCATGCTCTCCCTCTCTTTCATGCTCTCCCTCTCTTTCATGCTCTCCCTCTCTTTCATGCTCTCCCTCTCTTTCATGCTCTCCCTCTCTTTCATGCTCTCCCTCTCTTTCATGCTCTCCCTCTCTTTCATGCTCTCCCTCTCTTTCATGCTCTCCCTCTCTTTCATGCTCTCCCTCTCTTTCATGCTCTCCCTCTCTTTCATGCTCTCCCTCTCTTTCATGCTCTCCCTCTCTTTCATGCTCTCCCTCTCTTTCATGCTCTCCCTCTCTTTCATGCTCTCCCTCTCTTTCATGCTCTCCCTCTCTTTCATGCTCTCCCTCTCTTTCATGCTCTCCCTCTCTTTCATGCTCTCCCTCTCTTTCATGCTCTCCCTCTCTTTCATGCTCTCCCTCTCTTTCATGCTCTCCCTCTCTTTCATGCTCTCCCTCTCTTTCATGCTCTCCCTCTCTTTCATGCTCTCCCTCTCTTTCATGCTCTCCCTCTCTTTCATGCTCTCCCTCTCTTTCATGCTCTCCCTCTCTTTCATGCTCTCCCTCTCTTTCATGCTCTCCCTCTCTTTCATGCTCTCCCTCTCTTTCATGCTCTCCCTCTCTTTCATGCTCTCCCTCTCTTTCATGCTCTCCCTCTCTTTCATGCTCTCCCTCTCTTTCATGCTCTCCCTCTCTTTCATGCTCTCCCTCTCTTTCATGCTCTCCCTCTCTTTCATGCTCTCCCTCTCTTTCATGCTCTCCCTCTCTTTCATGCTCTCCCTCTCTTTCATGCTCTCCCTCTCTTTCATGCTCTCCCTCTCTTTCATGCTCTCCCTCTCTTTCATGCTCTCCCTCTCTTTCATGCTCTCCCTCTCTTTCATGCTCTCCCTCTCTTTCATGCTCTCCCTCTCTTTCATGCTCTCCCTCTCTTTCATGCTCTCCCTCTCTTTCATGCTCTCCCTCTCTTTCATGCTCTCCCTCTCTTTCATGCTCTCCCTCTCTTTCATGCTCTCCCTCTCTTTCATGCTCTCCCTCTCTTTCATGCTCTCCCTCTCTTTCATGCTCTCCCTCTCTTTCATGCTCTCCCTCTCTTTCATGCTCTCCCTCTCTTTCATGCTCTCCCTCTCTTTCATGCTCTCCCTCTCTTTCATGCTCTCCCTCTCTTTCATGCTCTCCCTCTCTTTCATGCTCTCCCTCTCTTTCATGCTCTCCCTCTCTTTCATGCTCTCCCTCTCTTTCATGCTCTCCCTCTCTTTCATGCTCTCCCTCTCTTTCATGCTCTCCCTCTCTTTCATGCTCTCCCTCTCTTTCATGCTCTCCCTCTCTTTCATGCTCTCCCTCTCTTTCATGCTCTCCCTCTCTTTCATGCTCTCCCTCTCTTTCATGCTCTCCCTCTCTTTCATGCTCTCCCTCTCTTTCATGCTCTCCCTCTCTTTCATGCTCTCCCTCTCTTTCATGCTCTCCCTCTCTTTCATGCTCTCCCTCTCTTTCATGCTCTCCCTCTCTTTCATGCTCTCCCTCTCTTTCATGCTCTCCCTCTCTTTCATGCTCTCCCTCTCTTTCATGCTCTCCCTCTCTTTCATGCTCTCCCTCTCTTTCATGCTCTCCCTCTCTTTCATGCTCTCCCTCTCTTTCATGCTCTCCCTCTCTTTCATGCTCTCCCTCTCTTTCATGCTCTCCCTCTCTTTCATGCTCTCCCTCTCTTTCATGCTCTCCCTCTCTTTCATGCTCTCCCTCTCTTTCATGCTCTCCCTCTCTTTCATGCTCTCCCTCTCTTTCATGCTCTCCCTCTCTTTCATGCTCTCCCTCTCTTTCATGCTCTCCCTCTCTTTCATGCTCTCCCTCTCTTTCATGCTCTCCCTCTCTTTCATGCTCTCCCTCTCTTTCATGCTCTCCCTCTCTTTCATGCTCTCCCTCTCTTTCATGCTCTCCCTCTCTTTCATGCTCTCCCTCTCTTTCATGCTCTCCCTCTCTTTCATGCTCTCCCTCTCTTTCATGCTCTCCCTCTCTTTCATGCTCTCCCTCTCTTTCATGCTCTCCCTCTCTTTCATGCTCTCCCTCTCTTTCATGCTCTCCCTCTCTTTCATGCTCTCCCTCTCTTTCATGCTCTCCCTCTCTTTCATGCTCTCCCTCTCTTTCATGCTCTCCCTCTCTTTCATGCTCTCCCTCTCTTTCATGCTCTCCCTCTCTTTCATGCTCTCCCTCTCTTTCATGCTCTCCCTCTCTTTCATGCTCTCCCTCTCTTTCATGCTCTCCCTCTCTTTCATGCTCTCCCTCTCTTTCATGCTCTCCCTCTCTTTCATGCTCTCCCTCTCTTTCATGCTCTCCCTCTCTTTCATGCTCTCCCTCTCTTTCATGCTCTCCCTCTCTTTCATGCTCTCCCTCTCTTTCATGCTCTCCCTCTCTTTCATGCTCTCCCTCTCTTTCATGCTCTCCCTCTCTTTCATGCTCTCCCTCTCTTTCATGCTCTCCCTCTCTTTCATGCTCTCCCTCTCTTTCATGCTCTCCCTCTCTTTCATGCTCTCCCTCTCTTTCATGCTCTCCCTCTCTTTCATGCTCTCCCTCTCTTTCATGCTCTCCCTCTCTTTCATGCTCTCCCTCTCTTTCATGCTCTCCCTCTCTTTCATGCTCTCCCTCTCTTTCATGCTCTCCCTCTCTTTCATGCTCTCCCTCTCTTTCATGCTCTCCCTCTCTTTCATGCTCTCCCTCTCTTTCATGCTCTCCCTCTCTTTCATGCTCTCCCTCTCTTTCATGCTCTCCCTCTCTTTCATGCTCTCCCTCTCTTTCATGCTCTCCCTCTCTTTCATGCTCTCCCTCTCTTTCATGCTCTCCCTCTCTTTCATGCTCTCCCTCTCTTTCATGCTCTCCCTCTCTTTCATGCTCTCCCTCTCTTTCATGCTCTCCCTCTCTTTCATGCTCTCCCTCTCTTTCATGCTCTCCCTCTCTTTCATGCTCTCCCTCTCTTTCATGCTCTCCCTCTCTTTCATGCTCTCCCTCTCTTTCATGCTCTCCCTCTCTTTCATGCTCTCCCTCTCTTTCATGCTCTCCCTCTCTTTCATGCTCTCCCTCTCTTTCATGCTCTCCCTCTCTTTCATGCTCTCCCTCTCTTTCATGCTCTCCCTCTCTTTCATGCTCTCCCTCTCTTTCATGCTCTCCCTCTCTTTCATGCTCTCCCTCTCTTTCATGCTCTCCCTCTCTTTCATGCTCTCCCTCTCTTTCATGCTCTCCCTCTCTTTCATGCTCTCCCTCTCTTTCATGCTCTCCCTCTCTTTCATGCTCTCCCTCTCTTTCATGCTCTCCCTCTCTTTCATGCTCTCCCTCTCTTTCATGCTCTCCCTCTCTTTCATGCTCTCCCTCTCTTTCATGCTCTCCCTCTCTTTCATGCTCTCCCTCTCTTTCATGCTCTCCCTCTCTTTCATGCTCTCCCTCTCTTTCATGCTCTCCCTCTCTTTCATGCTCTCCCTCTCTTTCATGCTCTCCCTCTCTTTCATGCTCTCCCTCTCTTTCATGCTCTCCCTCTCTTTCATGCTCTCCCTCTCTTTCATGCTCTCCCTCTCTTTCATGCTCTCCCTCTCTTTCATGCTCTCCCTCTCTTTCATGCTCTCCCTCTCTTTCATGCTCTCCCTCTCTTTCATGCTCTCCCTCTCTTTCATGCTCTCCCTCTCTTTCATGCTCTCCCTCTCTTTCATGCTCTCCCTCTCTTTCATGCTCTCCCTCTCTTTCATGCTCTCCCTCTCTTTCATGCTCTCCCTCTCTTTCATGCTCTCCCTCTCTTTCATGCTCTCCCTCTCTTTCATGCTCTCCCTCTCTTTCATGCTCTCCCTCTCTTTCATGCTCTCCCTCTCTTTCATGCTCTCCCTCTCTTTCATGCTCTCCCTCTCTTTCATGCTCTCCCTCTCTTTCATGCTCTCCCTCTCTTTCATGCTCTCCCTCTCTTTCATGCTCTCCCTCTCTTTCATGCTCTCCCTCTCTTTCATGCTCTCCCTCTCTTTCATGCTCTCCCTCTCTTTCATGCTCTCCCTCTCTTTCATGCTCTCCCTCTCTTTCATGCTCTCCCTCTCTTTCATGCTCTCCCTCTCTTTCATGCTCTCCCTCTCTTTCATGCTCTCCCTCTCTTTCATGCTCTCCCTCTCTTTCATGCTCTCCCTCTCTTTCATGCTCTCCCTCTCTTTCATGCTCTCCCTCTCTTTCATGCTCTCCCTCTCTTTCATGCTCTCCCTCTCTTTCATGCTCTCCCTCTCTTTCATGCTCTCCCTCTCTTTCATGCTCTCCCTCTCTTTCATGCTCTCCCTCTCTTTCATGCTCTCCCTCTCTTTCATGCTCTCCCTCTCTTTCATGCTCTCCCTCTCTTTCATGCTCTCCCTCTCTTTCATGCTCTCCCTCTCTTTCATGCTCTCCCTCTCTTTCATGCTCTCCCTCTCTTTCATGCTCTCCCTCTCTTTCATGCTCTCCCTCTCTTTCATGCTCTCCCTCTCTTTCATGCTCTCCCTCTCTTTCATGCTCTCCCTCTCTTTCATGCTCTCCCTCTCTTTCATGCTCTCCCTCTCTTTCATGCTCTCCCTCTCTTTCATGCTCTCCCTCTCTTTCATGCTCTCCCTCTCTTTCATGCTCTCCCTCTCTTTCATGCTCTCCCTCTCTTTCATGCTCTCCCTCTCTTTCATGCTCTCCCTCTCTTTCATGCTCTCCCTCTCTTTCATGCTCTCCCTCTCTTTCATGCTCTCCCTCTCTTTCATGCTCTCCCTCTCTTTCATGCTCTCCCTCTCTTTCATGCTCTCCCTCTCTTTCATGCTCTCCCTCTCTTTCATGCTCTCCCTCTCTTTCATGCTCTCCCTCTCTTTCATGCTCTCCCTCTCTTTCATGCTCTCCCTCTCTTTCATGCTCTCCCTCTCTTTCATGCTCTCCCTCTCTTTCATGCTCTCCCTCTCTTTCATGCTCTCCCTCTCTTTCATGCTCTCCCTCTCTTTCATGCTCTCCCTCTCTTTCATGCTCTCCCTCTCTTTCATGCTCTCCCTCTCTTTCATGCTCTCCCTCTCTTTCATGCTCTCCCTCTCTTTCATGCTCTCCCTCTCTTTCATGCTCTCCCTCTCTTTCATGCTCTCCCTCTCTTTCATGCTCTCCCTCTCTTTCATGCTCTCCCTCTCTTTCATGCTCTCCCTCTCTTTCATGCTCTCCCTCTCTTTCATGCTCTCCCTCTCTTTCATGCTCTCCCTCTCTTTCATGCTCTCCCTCTCTTTCATGCTCTCCCTCTCTTTCATGCTCTCCCTCTCTTTCATGCTCTCCCTCTCTTTCATGCTCTCCCTCTCTTTCATGCTCTCCCTCTCTTTCATGCTCTCCCTCTCTTTCATGCTCTCCCTCTCTTTCATGCTCTCCCTCTCTTTCATGCTCTCCCTCTCTTTCATGCTCTCCCTCTCTTTCATGCTCTCCCTCTCTTTCATGCTCTCCCTCTCTTTCATGCTCTCCCTCTCTTTCATGCTCTCCCTCTCTTTCATGCTCTCCCTCTCTTTCATGCTCTCCCTCTCTTTCATGCTCTCCCTCTCTTTCATGCTCTCCCTCTCTTTCATGCTCTCCCTCTCTTTCATGCTCTCCCTCTCTTTCATGCTCTCCCTCTCTTTCATGCTCTCCCTCTCTTTCATGCTCTCCCTCTCTTTCATGCTCTCCCTCTCTTTCATGCTCTCCCTCTCTTTCATGCTCTCCCTCTCTTTCATGCTCTCCCTCTCTTTCATGCTCTCCCTCTCTTTCATGCTCTCCCTCTCTTTCATGCTCTCCCTCTCTTTCATGCTCTCCCTCTCTTTCATGCTCTCCCTCTCTTTCATGCTCTCCCTCTCTTTCATGCTCTCCCTCTCTTTCATGCTCTCCCTCTCTTTCATGCTCTCCCTCTCTTTCATGCTCTCCCTCTCTTTCATGCTCTCCCTCTCTTTCATGCTCTCCCTCTCTTTCATGCTCTCCCTCTCTTTCATGCTCTCCCTCTCTTTCATGCTCTCCCTCTCTTTCATGCTCTCCCTCTCTTTCATGCTCTCCCTCTCTTTCATGCTCTCCCTCTCTTTCATGCTCTCCCTCTCTTTCATGCTCTCCCTCTCTTTCATGCTCTCCCTCTCTTTCATGCTCTCCCTCTCTTTCATGCTCTCCCTCTCTTTCATGCTCTCCCTCTCTTTCATGCTCTCCCTCTCTTTCATGCTCTCCCTCTCTTTCATGCTCTCCCTCTCTTTCATGCTCTCCCTCTCTTTCATGCTCTCCCTCTCTTTCATGCTCTCCCTCTCTTTCATGCTCTCCCTCTCTTTCATGCTCTCCCTCTCTTTCATGCTCTCCCTCTCTTTCATGCTCTCCCTCTCTTTCATGCTCTCCCTCTCTTTCATGCTCTCCCTCTCTTTCATGCTCTCCCTCTCTTTCATGCTCTCCCTCTCTTTCATGCTCTCCCTCTCTTTCATGCTCTCCCTCTCTTTCATGCTCTCCCTCTCTTTCATGCTCTCCCTCTCTTTCATGCTCTCCCTCTCTTTCATGCTCTCCCTCTCTTTCATGCTCTCCCTCTCTTTCATGCTCTCCCTCTCTTTCATGCTCTCCCTCTCTTTCATGCTCTCCCTCTCTTTCATGCTCTCCCTCTCTTTCATGCTCTCCCTCTCTTTCATGCTCTCCCTCTCTTTCATGCTCTCCCTCTCTTTCATGCTCTCCCTCTCTTTCATGCTCTCCCTCTCTTTCATGCTCTCCCTCTCTTTCATGCTCTCCCTCTCTTTCATGCTCTCCCTCTCTTTCATGCTCTCCCTCTCTTTCATGCTCTCCCTCTCTTTCATGCTCTCCCTCTCTTTCATGCTCTCCCTCTCTTTCATGCTCTCCCTCTCTTTCATGCTCTCCCTCTCTTTTATGCTCTCCCTCTCTTTCATGCTCTCCCTCTCTTTCATGCTCTCCCTCTCTTTCATGCTCTCCCTCTCTTTCATGCTCTCCCTCTCTTTCATGCTCTCCCTCTCTTTCATGCTCTCCCTCTCTTTCATGCTCTCCCTCTCTTTCATGCTCTCCCTCTCTTTCATGCTCTCCCTCTCTTTCATGCTCTCCCTCTCTTTCATGCTCTCCCTCTCTTTCATGCTCTCCCTCTCTTTCATGCTCTCCCTCTCTTTCATGCTCTCCCTCTCTTTCATGCTCTCCCTCTCTTTCATGCTCTCCCTCTCTTTCATGCTCTCCCTCTCTTTCATGCTCTCCCTCTCTTTCATGCTCTCCCTCTCTTTCATGCTCTCCCTCTCTTTCATGCTCTCCCTCTCTTTCATGCTCTCCCTCTCTTTCATGCTCTCCCTCTCTTTCATGCTCTCCCTCTCTTTCATGCTCTCCCTCTCTTTCATGCTCTCCCTCTCTTTCATGCTCTCCCTCTCTTTCATGCTCTCCCTCTCTTTCATGCTCTCCCTCTCTTTCATGCTCTCCCTCTCTTTCATGCTCTCCCTCTCTTTCATGCTCTCCCTCTCTTTCATGCTCTCCCTCTCTTTCATGCTCTCCCTCTCTTTCATGCTCTCCCTCTCTTTCATGCTCTCCCTCTCTTTCATGCTCTCCCTCTCTTTCATGCTCTCCCTCTCTTTCATGCTCTCCCTCTCTTTCATGCTCTCCCTCTCTTTCATGCTCTCCCTCTCTTTCATGCTCTCCCTCTCTTTCATGCTCTCCCTCTCTTTCATGCTCTCCCTCTCTTTCATGCTCTCCCTCTCTTTCATGCTCTCCCTCTCTTTCATGCTCTCCCTCTCTTTCATGCTCTCCCTCTCTTTCATGCTCTCCCTCTCTTTCATGCTCTCCCTCTCTTTCATGCTCTCCCTCTCTTTCATGCTCTCCCTCTCTTTTCATGCTCTCCCTCTCTTTCATGCTCTCCCTCTCTTTCATGCTCTCCCTCTCTTTCATGCTCTCCCTCTCTTTCATGCTCTCCCTCTCTTTATGCTCTCCCTCTCTTTCATGCTCTCCCTCTCTTTCATGCTCTCCCTCTCTTTATGCTCTCCCTCTCTTTCATGCTCTCCCTCTCTTTCATGCTCTCCCTCTCTTTCAATGCTCTCACTCCTCTCTTTCATGCTCTCCCTCTCTTCATGCTCTCCCTCTCTTTCATGCTCTCCCTCTCTTTCATGCTCTCCCTCTCTTTCATGCTCTCCCCTTATGCTCCCTCTCTTTATGCTCTCCCTCTCTTTCATGCTCTCCCTCTCTTTATGCTCTCCCTCTCTTTGATGCTCTCCCTCTCTTTCATGCTCTCCCGCTCTTTTCATGCTCTCGCCTCTCTTTTCATGCTCTCCCTCTCTTTCATGCTGCTCCCTCTCTTTCATGCGCTCCCTCATCTTTCATGCTCTCCCTCTCTTTCATGCTCTCCCTCTCTTTTAATGCTCTCCCTCTCTTTCATGCTCTCCCTCTCTTTTCATGCTCTCCCTCTCTTTTCATGCTCTCCCTCTCTTTCATGCTCTCCCCTCTCTTTATGCTCTCTCCCTCTCTTTCATGCTCTCCCTCTCTTTCATGCTCTCCCTCTCTTTCATGCCTCCCTCTCTTTCATGCTCTCCCTCTCTTTCATGCTCTCCCTCTCTTTTATGCTCTCCCCTCTCTTTCATGCTCTCCCTCTCTTTCATGCTCTCCCTCTCTTTCATGCTCTCCCTTCTCTTTTATGCTCTCCCTCTCTTTATGCTCTCCCTCTCTTCATGCTCTCCCTCTCTTTCATGCTCTCCCTCTCTTTCATGCTCTCCCTCTCTTTCATGCTCTCCCTCTCTTTATGCTCTCCCTCTCTTTCATGCTCTCCCTCTCTTTCATGCTCTCCCTCTCTTTCATGCTCTCCCTCTCTTTCATGCTCTCCCTCTCTTTCATGCTCTCCCTCTCTTTTATGCTCTCCCTCTCTTTCATGCTCTCCCTCTCTTTCATGCTCTCCCTCTCTTTCATGCTCTCCCTCTCTTTCATGCTCTCCCTCTCTTTCATGCTCTCCCTCTCTTTCATGCTCTCCCTCTCTTTCATGCTCTCCCTCTCTTTCATGCTCTCCCTCTCTTTATGCCCCTCTCTTTCAGCTCTCCCTCTCTTTCATGCTCTCCCTCTCTTTCATGCTCTCCTCTCTTTATGCTCTCCCTCTCTTTCATGCTCTCCCTCTCTTTTCATGCTCTCCCTCTCTTTCATGCTCTCCTCTCTTTCATGCTCTCCCTCTCTTTCATGCTCTCTCCCTCTCTTTCATGCTCTCCCTCTCTTTTATGCTCTCCCTCTCTTTCATGCTCTCCCTCTCTTTCATGCTCTCCCTCTCTTTCATGCTCTCCCCTCTCTTTCATGCTCTCCCTCTCTTTCATGCTCTCCCTCTCTTTCATGCTCTCCCTCTCTTTCATGCTCTCCTCTCTTTCATGCTCTCCCTCTCTTTTATGCTCTCCTCTCTTCATGCTCTCCCTCTCTTTCATGCTCTCCCTCTCTTTCATGCTCTCCCTCTCTTTCATGCTCTCAGCCTCTCTTTCATGCGCTCCCTCTCTTTCCATGCTCTCCCTCTCTTTCATGCTCTCCCTCTCTTTCATGCTCTCCCTCTCTTATGCTCTCCTCTCTTCAGTCGTGCTTCTCCCTCTCTTCATGCTCTCCCTCTCTTTCTGTTATGCTCTCCCATCTCTTTCATGCTCTCCTTCCCTACTCTTTCATGCTCTCCCTCTCTTTCATGCTGCTCCCTCTATTTATGCTCTCCCTCTCTTTCATGCTCTCCCTCTCTTTATTCTCTTCCCTCTCTTTCATGCTCTCCCTCTCTTTATGCTCTCCCTCTCTTTTATGCTCTCCCTCTCTTTCATGCTCTCCCTCTCTTTCATGCTCTCCCTCTCTTTCATGCTCTCCCTCTCTTTCATGCTCTCCCTCTCTTTATGCTCTCCCTCTCTTTCATGCTCTCCCTCTCTTTCATGCTCTCCCTCTCTTTCATGCTCTCCCTCTCTTTCATGCTCTCCCTCTCTTTCATGCTCTCCCTCTCTATTAATGCTCTCCCTCTCTTTCATGCTCTCCCTCTCTTTCATGCTCTCCCTCTCTTTCATGCTCTCCCTCTCTTTTCACTGCTCTCCCTCTCTTTCATGCTCTCCCTCTCTTTCAATGCTCTCCCTCTCTTTCATGCTCTCCCTCGTCTTTTATGCTCTCCCTCTCTTTCATGCTCTCCCTCTCTTTTATGCTCTCCCTCTCTTTGTCTCGCCTCTCTTTTAAGTCTCTCCCTCTCTTTCATGCTCTCCCTCTCTTTCATGCTCTCCCTCTCTTTCATGCTCTCCCTCTCTTTTCATGCTCTCCCTCTCTTTCATGCTCTCCCTCTCTTTCATCATTCTCCCTCTCCTTTATGCTCTCCCTCTCTTTCATGCTCTCCCTCTCTTTTATGCTCTCCCTCTCTTTTATGCTCTCCCTCTCTTTCATGCTCTCCCTCTCTTTCATGCTCTCCTCTCTTTCATGCTCTCCCTCTCTTTCATGCTCTCCACTCTCTTTTCATGCTCTCCCTCTCTTCTTTCAAATGCTCTCCCTCTCTTTCATGCTCTCCCTCTCTTTTAATGCTCTCCCTCTCTTTCATGCTCTCCCTCTCTTCATGCTCTCCCTCTCTTTCATGCTCTCCCCTCTTTCATGCTCTCTCCCTCTCTTTCATGCTCTCCCTCTCTTTCATGCTCTCCCTCTCTTTCATGCTCTCCCTCTCTTTCATGCTCCTCCCTCTCTTTCATGCTCTCCCATCTCTTTCATGCTCTCCCTCTCTTTCATGCTCTCCCTCTACTTTTATGCTCTCCCTCTCTTTCATGCTCTCCCTCTCTTTTTAATGCTCTCCCTCTCTTTCATGCTCTCCCTCTCTTATATGCTCTCCCTCTCTTTCAATGCTCTCCCTCTCTTTCAATGCTCTCCCTCCGTCCTTTCATGCTCTCCCTCTCTTTTATGCTCTCCCTCTCTTTAATGCTCTCCCTCTCTTTTATGCTCTCCCTCTCTTTCATGCTCTCCCTCTCTTTTATGCTCTCCCTCTCTTTCATGCTCTCCCTCTCTTTCATGCTCTCCCTCTCTTTCAGCTCTCCCCTCTCTTTCATGCTCTCCCTCTCTTCATGCTCTCCCTCTCTTTCATGCTCTCCCTCTCTTTCATGCTCTCCCTCTCTTTCATGCTCTACCTCTCTTTCATGCTCTCCCTCTCATTTCATGCTCTCCCTCTCTTTCATGCTCTCCCTCTCTTTTATGCTCTCCCTCTCTTTCATGCTCTCCCTCTCTTTATGCTCTCCCTCTCTTTTCATGCTCTCCCTCTCTTTATGCTCTCCTCTCTTTCATGCTCTCCCTCTCTTTATGCTCTCCCTCTCTTTCATCTCTCCCTCTCTTTTATGCCTCCCTCTCTTTTATGCTCTCCCTCTCTTTCATGCTCTCCCTCTCTTTATGCTCTCCCTCTCTTTTAATGCTCTCCCTCTCTTTCATGCTCTCCTCTCTTTCATGCTCTCCCTCTCTTTTATGCTCTCCCTCTCTTTCATGCTCTCCCTCTCTTTCATGCTCTCCCTCTCTTTCATGCTCTTCCCTCTCTTCCATGCTCTCCCTCTCTTTCATGCTCTCCTCTCTTTATGCTCTCCCTCTCTTTCATGCTCTCCCTCTCTTTTATGCTCTCCCTCTCTTTATGCTCTCCCTCCTCTTTCATGCTCTCCCTCTCTTTTATGCTCTACCTCTCTTTTATGCTCTCCCTCTCTTTCATGCTCTCCCTCTCTTTTATGCTCTCCCTCTCTTTCATGCTCTCCCTCTCTTTCAATGCTCTCCCTCTCTTTTCATGCTCCCCTCTCTTTCATGCTCTCCCTCTCTTTCATGCTCCCTATCTTTATGCTCTCCCTCTCTTTCATGCTCTCCCTCTCTTTCATGCTCTCCCTCTCTTTCATGCTCTCCCTCTCTTTCATGCTCTCCCTCTCTTTCATGCTCTCCCTCTCTTTTCATGCTCTCCCTCTCTTTCATGCTCTCCCTCTCTTTTATGCTCTCCCTCTCTTTCATGCTCTCCCTCTCTTTTATGCTCTCCCTCTCTTTCATGCTCTCCCTCTCTTTCATGCTCTCCCTCTCTTTCATGCTCTCCCTCTCTTTTATGCTCTCCCTCTGCTTTCATGCTCTCCCTCTCTTTTAATGCTCTCCCTCTCTTTATGCTCTCCCTCTCTTTCATGCTCTCCCTCTCTTTCATGCTCTCCCTCTCTTTCATGCTCTCCCTCTCTTCATGCTCTCCCTCTCTTTTATGCTCTCCCTCTCTTTCATGCTCTCCCTCTCTTTATGCTCTCCCTCTCTTTCATGCTCTCCCTCTCTTTCATGCTCTCCCTCTCTTTCATGCTCTCCTCTCTTTATGCTCTCCCTCTCTTTCATGCTCTCCCTCTCTTTCATGCTCTCCCTCTCTTTCATGCTCTCCCTCTCTTTTATGCTCTCCCTCTCTTTTATGCTCTCCCTCTCTTTATGCTCTCCCTCTCTTTCATGCCTCTCCCTCTCTTTTATGCTCTCCCTCTCTTTCATGCTCTCCCTCTCTTTCATGCTCTCCCTCTCTTTCATGCTCTCCTCTCTTTCATGCTCTCCCTCTCTTTCATGCTCTCCCTCTCTTTCATGCTCTCCCTCTCTTTCATGCTCTCCCTCTCTTTTATGCTCTCCCTCTCTTTTATGCTCTCCCTCTCTTTATGCTCTCCTCTCTTTATGCTCTCCCTCTCTTTCATGCTCTCCCTCTCTTTCATGCTCTCCCTCTCTTTAATGCTCTCCTCTCTTTCATGCTCTCCCTCTCTTTTATGCTCTCCCTCTCTTTTATGCTCTCCCTCTCTTTCATGCTCTCCCCTCTCTTTCATGCTCTCCCTCTCTTTATGCTCTCCCTCTCTTTCATGCTCTCCTCTCTTTTATGCTCTCCCTCTCTTTCATGCTCTCCCTCTCTTTTATGCTCTCCCTCTCTTTCATGCTCTCCTCTCTTTCATGCTCTCCCTCTCTTTCATGCTCTCTCCCTCTCTTTATGCTCTCCCTCTCTTTCATGCTCTCCCTCTCTTTATGCTCTCCCTCTCTTTTATGCTCTCCCTCTCTTTCATGCTCTCCCTCTCTTTTATGCTCTCCCTCTCTTTCATGCTCTCCCTCTCTTTCATGCTCTCCCTCTCTTTCATGCTCTCCCTCTCTTTTATGCTCTCCCTCTCTTTCATGCTCTCCCTCTCTTTATGCTCTCCCTCTCTTTTATGCTCTCCCTCTCTTTATGCTCTCCCTCTCTTTTATGCTCTCCCTCTTTCATGCTCTCCCTCTCTTTCATGCTCTCCCTCTCTTTCATGCTCTCCCTCTCTTTCATGCTCTCCCTCTCTTTCATGCTCTCCCTCTCTTTATGCTCTCCCTCTCTTTCATGCTCTCCCTCTCTTTTATGCTCTCCCTCTCTTTTATGCTCTCCCTCTCTTTTATGCTCTCCCTCTCTTTATGCTCTCCCTCTCTTTTATGCTCTCCCTCTCTTTTAATGCTCTCCCTCTCTTTAATGCTCTCCCTCTCTTTTATGCTCTCCCTCTCTTTTATGCTCTCCCTCTCTTTATGCTCTCCCTCTCTTTATGCTCTCCCTCTCTTTTATGCTCTCCCTCTCTTTTATGCTCTCCCTCTCTTTAATGCTCTCCCTCTCTTTCATGCTCTCCCTCTCTTTCATGCTCTCCCTCTCTTTATGCTCTCCCTCTCTTTATGCTCTCCCTCTCTTTCATGCTCTCCCTCTCTTTCATGCTCTCCCTCTCTTTTATGCTCTCCCTCTCTTTCATGCTCTCCCTCTCTTTTATGCTCTCCCTCTCTTTCATGCTCTCCCTCTCTTTCATGCTCTCCCTCTCTTTCATGCTCTCCCTCTCTTTTATGCTCTCCCTCTCTTTCATGCTCTCCCTCTCTTTTATGCTCTCCCTCTCTTTCATGCTCTCCCTCTCTTTCATGCTCTCCCTCTCTTTTATGCTCTCCCTCTCTTTCATGCCTCTCCCTCTCTTTCATGCTCTCCCTCTCTTTCATGCTCTCCCTCTCTTTCATGCTCTCCCTCTCTTTCATGCTCTCCCTCTCTTTCATGCTCTCCCTCTCTTTCATGCTCTCCCTCTCTTTTATGCTCTCCCTCTCTTTCATGCTCTCCCTCTCTTTTATGCTCTCCCTCTCTTTTATGCTCTCCCTCTCTTTCATGCTCTCCCTCTCTTTCATGCTCTCCCTCTCTTTTATGCTCTCCCTCTCTTCATGCTCTCCCTCTCTTTCATGCTCTCCCTCTCTTTCATGCTCTCCCTCTCTTTCATGCTCTCCCTCTCTTTCATGCTCTCCCTCTCTTTCATGCTCTCCCTCTCTTTCATGCTCTCCCTCTCTTTTATGCTCTCCCTCTCTTTCATGCTCTCCCTCTCTTTTATGCTCTCCCTCTCTTTTATGCTCTCCCTCTCTTTTATGCTCTCCCTCTCTTTTATGCTCTCCCTCTCTTTTATGCTCTCCCTCTCTTTTATGCTCTCCCTCTCTTTTATGCTCTCCCTCTCTTTTATGCTCTCCCTCTCTTTTATGCTCTCCCTCTCTTTTATGCTCTCCCTCTCTTTTATGCTCTCCCTCTCTTTTATGCTCTCCCTCTCTTTCATGCTCTCCCTCTCTTTCATGCTCTCCCTCTCTTTTATGCTCTCCCTCTCTTTTATGCTCTCCCTCTCTTTCATGCTCTCCCTCTCTTTCATGCTCTCCCTCTCTTTTATGCTCTCCCTCTCTTTCATGCTCTCCCTCTCTTTTATGCTCTCCCTCTCTTTCATGCTCTCCCTCTCTTTCATGCTCTCCCTCTCTTTCATGCTCTCCCTCTCTTTTATGCTCTCCCTCTCTTTCATGCTCTCCCTCTCTTTTATGCTCTCCCTCTCTTTCATGCTCTCCCTCTCTTTCATGCTCTCCCTCTCTTTTATGCTCTCCCTCTCTTTCATGCTCTCCCTCTCTTTCATGCTCTCCCTCTCTTTCATGCTCTCCCTCTCTTTCATGCTCTCCCTCTCTTTCATGCTCTCCCTCTCTTTCATGCTCTCCCTCTCTTTCATGCTCTCCCTCTCTTTCATGCTCTCCCTCTCTTTCATGCTCTCCCTCTCTTTTATGCTCTCCCTCTCTTTTATGCTCTCCCTCTCTTTTATGCTCTCCCTCTCTTTTATGCTCTCCCTCTCTTTATGCTCTCCCTCTCTTTTATGCTCTCCCTCTCTTTTATGCTCTCCCTCTCTTTCATGCTCTCCCTCTCTTTCATGCTCTCCCTCTCTTTTATGCTCTCCCTCTCTTTCATGCTCTCCCTCTCTTTTATGCTCTCCCTCTCTTTCATGCTCTCCCTCTCTTTCATGCTCTCCCTCTCTTTCATGCTCTCCCTCTCTTTATGCTCTCCCTCTCTTTCATGCTCTCCCTCTCTTTCATGCTCTCCCTCTCTTTCATGCTCTCCCTCTCTTTCATGCTCTCCCTCTCTTTATGCTCTCCCTCTCTTTCATGCTCTCCCTCTCTTTCATGCTCTCCCTCTCTTTCATGCTCTCCCTCTCTTTCATGCTCTCCCTCTCTTTCATGCTCTCCCTCTCTTTCATGCTCTCCCTCTCTTTCATGCTCTCCCTCTCTTTTATGCTCTCCCTCTCTTTCATGCTCTCCCTCTCTTTTATGCTCTCCCTCTCTTTATGCTCTCCCTCTCTTTCATGCTCTCCCTCTCTTTCATGCTCTCCCTCTCTTTTATGCTCTCCCTCTCTTTCATGCTCTCCCTCTCTTTCATGCTCTCCCTCTCTTTCATGCTCTCCCTCTCTTTCATGCTCTCCCTCTCTTTCATGCTCTCCCTCTCTTTCATGCTCTCCCTCTCTTTTATGCTCTCCCTCTCTTTCATGCTCTCCCTCTCTTTCATGCTCTCCCTCTCTTCATGCTCTCCCTCTCTTTATGCTCTCCCTCTCTTTCATGCTCTCCCTCTCTTTTATGCTCTCCCTCTCTTTTATGCTCTCCCTCTCTTTTATGCTCTCCCTCTCTTTATGCTCTCCCTCTCTTTTATGCTCTCCCTCTCTTTTATGCTCTCCCTCTCTTTATGCTCTCCCTCTCTTTTATGCTCTCCCTCTCTTTTATGCTCTCCCTCTCTTTCATGCTCTCCCTCTCTTTCATGCTCTCCCTCTCTTTATGCTCTCCCTCTCTTTTATGCTCTCCCTCTCTTTCATGCTCTCCCTCTCTTTCATGCTCTCCCTCTCTTTTATGCTCTCCCTCTCTTTCATGCTCTCCCTCTTTTGCTCTCCCTCTCTTTCATGCTCTCCCTCTCTTTCATGCTCTCCCTCTCTTTCATGCTCTCCCTCTCTTTTATGCTCTCCCTCTCTTCATGCTCTCCCTCTCTTTATGCTCTCCCTCTCTTTCATGCTCTCCCTCTCTTTATGCTCTCCTCTCTTTCATGCTCTCCCTCTCTTTCATGCTCTCCCTCTCTTTATGCTCTCCCTCTCTTTCATGCTCTCCCTCTCTTTCATGCTCTCCCTCTCTTTCATGCTCTCCCTCTCTTTCATGCTCTCCCTCTCTTTCATGCTCTCCCTCTCTTTCATGCTCTCCCTCTCTTTCATGCTCTCCCTCTCTTTTATGCTCTCCCTCTCTTTCATGCTCTCCCTCTCTTTTATGCTCTCCCTCTCTTTCATGCTCTCCCTCTCTTTCATGCTCTCCCTCTCTTTCATGCTCTCCCTCTCTTTCATGCTCTCCCTCTCTTTTATGCTCTCCCTCTCTTTCATGCTCTCCCTCTCTTTTATGCTCTCCCTCTCTTTTATGCTCTCCCTCTCTTTCATGCTCTCCCTCTCTTTCATGCTCTCCCTCTCTTTATGCTCTCCCTCTCTTTCATGCTCTCCCTCTCTTTCATGCTCTCCCTCTCTTTCATGCTCTCCCTCTCTTTCATGCTCTCCCTCTCTTTCATGCTCTCCCTCTCTTTCATGCTCTCCCTCTCTTTCATGCTCTCCCTCTCTTTCATGCTCTCCCTCTCTTTCATGCTCTCCCTCTCTTTTATGCTCTCCCTCTCTTTTATGCTCTCCCTCTCTTTTATGCTCTCCCTCTCTTTTATGCTCTCCCTCTCTTTATGCTCTCCCTCTCTTTTATGCTCTCCCTCTCTTTTATGCTCTCCCTCTCTTTTATGCTCTCCCTCTCTTTTATGCTCTCCCTCTCTTTTATGCTCTCCCTCTCTTTTATGCTCTCCCTCTCTTTCATGCTCTCCCTCTCTTTCATGCTCTCCCTCTCTTTTATGCTCTCCCTCTCTTTTATGCTCTCCCTCTCTTTCATGCTCTCCCTCTCTTTCATGCTCTCCCTCTCTTTTATGCTCTCCCTCTCTTTCATGCTCTCCCTCTCTTTATGCTCTCCCTCTCTTTCATGCTCTCCCTCTCTTTCATGCTCTCCCTCTCTTTCATGCTCTCCCTCTCTTTATGCTCTCCCTCTCTTTCATGCTCTCCCTCTCTTTTATGCTCTCCCTCTCTTTCATGCTCTCCCTCTCTTTCATGCTCTCCCTCTCTTTTATGCTCTCCCTCTCTTTCATGCTCTCCCTCTCTTTCATGCTCTCCCTCTCTTTCATGCTCTCCCTCTCTTTCATGCTCTCCCTCTCTTTCATGCTCTCCCTCTCTTTCATGCTCTCCCTCTCTTTCATGCTCTCCCTCTCTTTTATGCTCTCCCTCTCTTTCATGCTCTCCCTCTCTTTCATGCTCTCCCTCTCTTTTATGCTCTCCCTCTCTTTCATGCTCTCCCTCTCTTTTATGCTCTCCCTCTCTTTTATGCTCTCCCTCTCTTTTATGCTCTCCCTCTCTTTTATGCTCTCCCTCTCTTTTATGCTCTCCCTCTCTTTTATGCTCTCCCTCTCTTTTATGCTCTCCCTCTCTTTTATGCTCTCCCTCTCTTTTATGCTCTCCCTCTCTTTCATGCTCTCCCTCTCTTTCATGCTCTCCCTCTCTTTTATGCTCTCCCTCTCTTTTATGCTCTCCCTCTCTTTCATGCTCTCCCTCTCTTTCATGCTCTCCTCTCTTTCATGCTCTCCCTCTCTTTATGCTCTCCCTCTCTTTCATGCTCTCCCTCTCTTTATGCTCTCCCTCTCTTTCATGCTCTCCCTCTCTTTCATGCTCTCCCTCTCTTTCATGCTCTCCCTCTCTTTATGCTCTCCCTCTCTTTCATGCTCTCCCTCTCTTTCATGCTCTCCCTCTCTTTCATGCTCTCCCTCTCTTTCATGCTCTCCCTCTCTTTTATGCTCTCCCTCTCTTTCATGCTCTCCCTCTCTTTCATGCTCTCCCTCTCTTTCATGCTCTCCCTCTCTTTCATGCTCTCCCTCTCTTTCATGCTCTCCCTCTCTTTCATGCTCTCCCTCTCTTTCATGCTCTCCCTCTCTTTCATGCTCTCCCTCTCTTTCATGCTCTCCCTCTCTTTCATGCTCTCCCTCTCTTTCATGCTCTCCCTCTCTTTTATGCTCTCCCTCTCTTTCATGCTCTCCCTCTCTTTTATGCTCTCCCTCTCTTTTATGCTCTCCCTCTCTTTCATGCTCTCCCTCTCTTTTATGCTCTCCCTCTCTTTTATGCTCTCCCTCTCTTTTATGCTCTCCCTCTCTTTTATGCTCTCCCTCTCTTTTATGCTCGCTTTCCCTCGTGCTCCCGTGTTCAGGGTGCACGGGCTCAAGTCAGGGAAGACCCTCAAGGAGTTTCGAGGGCACACCTCTTTCGTCAACGATGCTCTATATTCTGCTGATGGTGGTCGTGTTATCACTGCCTCCTCCGATGGCTCTGTCAAGGTGATGTGAGGTGCAGTGCGTTGATATGAGGTGCAGTGCGTTGATATGAGGTGCAGTGCCGAGTGTGTGTCATGTGAGGGAAAATGGTGCTGCACCAGCGAGAGCGTGAGTGAGGATGGGTGCGTGTGGACTTTGAATCCTCAACTACACTAACCTCAATACTCCATTAAACACTCATCTGTCCCAATCCCTCCCCACCTCTCCTCCTCACCCCCTCGTCCCTCCCCACCTCTTCCCACCCATCCTCACCCCTAACCCAATCAGGTGTGGGACGTCAAGTCACTCGAGTGCTTGCACACGTTCAAGCCACCACCACCCCTCCGAGTGAGTCGCCTCCCATGCGGCCCTGCCTATCCCTGTCACGCCCTCTCAGCCCTACCTGTCCCCGTTCCCCCTGGTCAGCCCTATCCAGCCCTGACCCTCAATCCGTCCGTTTACTCATTCTCCTTGTTGAAAAGATAGAAGTGATGCATTGAATAATGAGCCAAGAGGCCCTTTAGTACAAACAATGAGCAAGAGAGAGATGAGAGGGAAGCTTACCCTATTGGCCAATAAGTTGGCCAATGGGTGAGCTTGCTTGTGGCCCAAGCAACCACAAATGTGTGTTGGTTGGGATCGGTTGAGCTAAGGACCAATCCCAACCAACCACAAAATGTGGTTGGAAGGTACACTGAACAACCCCCCAATTTATGAATGTGCTACATATTCAAGTCTAGCCTATGTATGTTGTATAAAATATGAAATTACAACACTCCTGCCCCATCGTTCAGCTGCACTCCAGTCCCTCTGTGCCCACCTTCTGCAGTTGACTCGAAGTCAAAACATTTGTCTAAAAAATCGACTCAATTCTTTCCTCCACGCATTCCCGTTCCCCATCGTTGATCCGCACTCCAGTCCCTCCTGCCCACCCTTTGTTTCCCTAGAGCTTGCACACGTATCGTATCACTCATCTACGTCCTACCTTCTAGCCTCCATCTCTACGGCTCTGTCTCTCTGTCTCTCTGTCTCTCTGTCTCTCTGTCTCTCGCATGTGCTGCACCGTTTCTTTCCTCTGCACGGCGGAGACCCTGCCCCATTCTCCCGCTTTCCATCACCCCGCCCCGTTCTCCCGCTTTCCATCACCCTGCCCCTTTCTCCCGCATCACATCACAGTGCTCCTCTCCCCCCCTTCCCCGCAATGTCGACCATGTGGTTGTGTGCAACCGCTCCTCCTCCATCTTCCATCTTCCCTTCTTCCTCGTTTTTGTTCCCCTGCAGGGCGGAGACGCGTCAGTGAACTCGGTGCTCCTCTCCCCCCCCAACGTCGGCCATGTGATGTGATAGTGCGCCACCGCCCGTTCTCCATCTTCCTTTTTTCCTCGTTTTTTTCCCATTCCAGGGCGGCGACGCGTCAGTGAATTCGGTGCTCCTCTCTCCCCGCAACGTGGACCATGTGTTTGTGTGCAACCGCTCCTCCTCCGTGTTTCTCATGACGCTGCAGGGCCAGGTGGGTGTGAGGGAGGTGGAATGTGGGGGAGGTGGGTGCGGTGGGTGTGGGGAATGGGTCAATGTGATGTGGGTGCGGCCAGTGCAAGGTGATACACAGCTTCACACTAGGGAAAAGAGGGAGGGCGACGGTGGCTTAGCTTGTTGGCCATGTGACCAGATGCTGTGCCTCATGCACCCGTACCCATGCACCCGTACCCATGCACCCGTACCCATGCACCCGTACCCATGCACCCGTACCCATGCACCCGTACCCATGCACCCGTACCCATGCACCCGTACCCATGCACCCGTACCCATGCACCCGTACCCATGCAGCCATGCACCGATCGGCCTGTATTAATCCATCCACCCGGGCGCCACTGCACCCACTCACCTACGCTATGCACCCATGCATGTATCATGTGGTTCGTATTTTCACATCAGGCAAGAGGGAGGGCGGTGATTTTGATTCTCTTCCATGTTACAGAAGGTTATTCCCCATGCTACCCCATACCTCCCATGCTACCCCGTACCTCCCATGCTACCCTATACCTCCCATGCTACCCCATACCTCCCATGCTACCCCATACCTCCCATGCTACCCCATACCTCCCATGCTACCCCATACCTCCCATGCTACCCCATACCTCCCATGCTACCCCATACCTCCATCCTACCCCATACCTCCCATGCTACCTCCCATGCACCCATGTACCCATGTACCATACACCCATGCACCCATGCATCCATGCATCCATGCTCTCATCAGGTGGTGCGGAGCTTCACATCAGGCAAGAGGGAGGGCGGTGACTTTGTGGCGGCGTGCCTGTCCCCCAAGGGCGACTGGATCTACTGCATGGGCGAGGATGCGTGAGTGCCTTGGTCACTGCACTGCACACGAGTGCTGACTTGATTTGACTGCACACGAGTGCACTGTGTGTGGTGGGTGTGAGTGCTGCTGCTCCCCCCCGTGCCTGTCCCCCAAGGGCGAGTGGATCTATTGCATGGGCAAGGATGCGTGAGTGGTGGCATGGTGTGTGTACCAATGTGTACCAATGTGTACCAATGTGTACCAATGTGTACCAATGTGTACCAATGTGTACCAATGTGTACCAATGTGTACCAATGTGTACCAATGTGTACCAATGTGTACCAATGTGTACCAATGTGTACCAATGTGTACCAATGTGTACCAATGTGTACCAATGTGTACCAATGTGTACCAATGTGTACCAATGTGTACCAATGTGTACCAATGTGTACCAATGTGTACCAATGTGTACCAATGTGTACCAATGTGTACCAATGTGTACCAATGTGTACCAATGTGTACCAATGTTGTACCAATGTGTACCAATGTGTACCAATGTGTACCAATGTGTACCAATGTGTACCAATGTGTACCAATGTGTACCAATGTGTACCAATGTGTACCAATGTGTACTCAATGTGTACCAATGTGTACCAATGTGTACCAATGTGTACCAATGTGTACCAATGTGTACCAATGTGTACCAATGTGTACCAATGTGTACCAATGTGTACCAATGTGTACCAATGTGTACCAATGTGTACCAATGTGCACCAATGTGCACCAATGTGCACCAATGTGCACCAATGTGTACCAATGTGTACCAATGTGTACCAATGTGTACCAATGTGCACCCATGTGTACCAATGTGCACCCATGTGTACCAATGTGCACCGGTGCCCATGGTGTGGAGTGCACTGGCTGGTGGGTGTGTGCACTGCTGCCTCTCCCCGTGCCTCCCTCGCAAGGCTAGTGTGTATCTCTACTGTATGGGCGAGGATGTGGCGGTGCTTGAGTCGAACCGGATTCGCATAACGCTTTCACTGCATGGGCGAGAGTGTGTGAGTGCTGGCTGAGGTTCATCAGGCAACGACAAGTCATCAAGGAGCACAGTGACTGCTTGCTGGGGTGTGGTGGACACGGCAACTCGCACCAATCCTTTATCACTCCACTCTCCTCACCCATTCTCCCTTCTGCACTGCACTCCGGCTCTGCACAGCACTCCCACTCTGCACTTAATCCCCCCCGCCGTTGTCACTCCCTCACTGTCCTATTTCACCTTCTCTCCCTTTTTCTCCCCTCTCATGCTCTCTGCTCCCCCCTGCAGCAACATGTACTGCTTCAGCTTTCAGAGTGGCAAGCTAGAGCATCTCATGAAGGTGTGGTTCTCTCTTTGTGTGTGCAAAGCATTGCGTGGCACCCACAGCATCGAGAAGCATTCACCTCTGCACATTCATGTGATGAATTTCTTGTTGAGACTTATCACTAACTTCACTTCGTACCCATGTGTGGGCATGTATGTGCATGTGCATGTGTGTGCATGCGTCCATCATGTGTGCGCATGTGAGCAGGTGCATGACAAGGATGTCATAGGCATCACCCACCATCCCCATCGCAACCTCATTGCAACCTACAGCGAAGATTGCACCCTCAAGCTATGGCAGCCATAGTCAACTCTGTCTTTGAGGCACCTCAAAATAATCCAGTCTCCCACTTCAACTCCACTGAATAAATCACCCTAGGCCCTAGGGTGCTTCTTTTAGTTCTTAAATAAAATGATTGGGTGTTCACAAAAGGTTAAAAAAAACACCCGCTAGCTGCGCACTGCTACAAATGCGAACGAACTTGCATGATCTCGAAATACTTCTGCCTCATTAACACACTTCAGTTAGATGCCAACAGATGCCATTCAAGAACTGTGACGTTCGGCACAATGTGATGGTTGGGCTTTGACAGACCAGATAATAAATGTTTGTTTGCTTGTTTTTAACGGTTGACTCAAGAGTCTTGGCAATGCCAGCAGCACCAACCAACCTGTGTGTTATAAGGTTTTGGACTAGGTATGTTCAGGACCTGCAGTATACTACACAGGCGCTTATGGTACGAATAGATTCAAACCTGATGATGGTGTGTCACTTCTTGTTCAGGCTGCATGATTGTGATGGTGATGGAGCTGGGCAACCGAATACGAGCCCATGGCATCTCCACGCCCATCCCCGTGGGGAGACGGCACGGCACTCTAGCCAGAGCGGTCCATGCCACGTCAGCATCCTCGTCGCCCTCCAGCAGGGCAAGGGCTGACGCCACTGACGCACGCAGCTCGTCCAACCGCGACTGCGATGCTGAGAGGCACGTGTGCTCTAGTAGCACTGACCCTAAAGAAGGTGGTTGTGACATTGATGCAAAATGTGACTCTTCATCTGATTTCATCGCTGCTGCTGCTGCTGGTTCAGGTAAGTGTGGGAGTGCTATTGCTGCTGCTGCTGCTGCTGGCGCTGTGCCAGTTGTTGCTGACGTGTCTGGGACAGTGAGGGTGTCAAGAATGGGCCAAGCGGCAGAGAGGGCCTCGGCCACTCGTATTCTGACATTTGGCACGTTGTCCTGTGGGGAGACAGCGGGATGGGTAGGCACAAGAGGAGGGGGGTAGAATGAAGATGAAAGGCAGGTAAAGAAGCGTAAGAGCAGAGACACAGAATGGCAGTGTAAGGGAAAAGAGAGTTAAAACCCGCGGGCCAAGAAGTTCAACCTTAGGAAGGTTGGTTGGGGGTGAAAACGCTCTTGGCCTGCGAACCAATAGGAGTGTCTAAAATGTGAGATCGAGGTCTAGAACTCGGGAATGATCACAGGCGTTTTTGGGACATCCAACCAACACTAGGAAGGATGAACCAATTTCAGCACTAAGAGCAAGGCAGGATGGGTTTGAGAGGGGAGCAGGCTTACATAGACGAGCGGGAGGAGGAGAGGGAGGACGGTGGAGAGGAGGAAGGCAAATGCGTGGAGATGTGAGTTGGGCTGACAGGGGAGGGCTATGGGAGGAGAGGAGGGCGTGTGTGCGGAGGGGTGTGTGTGTGTGGTGGCAGGAGGAAAGGAGTGCGCTGGCGAGGCAAGGAGAGGCGCTGCCAGGGTTGGCCCGATGCAGTCCAGCAGCTCCGTACAGGCTATGCCGAACCTGCGAATAGGTTTGACAGGTTCGGAATGGGGGGAAGGATGATCAAATATGGCTATAGCGCAGATGCGCGTCAACTAAATTAGCTCATAGCCTCTATAAGACAAGAAGGTTATACGTTCATACGTGTACATAAACATATGCAAACGCTACGGTAAAGCCAGAAATCGAGATCAAGATTGATGGAAAGAAGAGACGAGGGGAAACAAGGGGGGTCATCGATGAGGGGAGTGAGGGGATAGGAGGGAGCCGAGTAGAGAGGAGGAAGGGGAATGGGAGAGAGACGTACGTTTGTCGGTCGCGGAAATTGCGACTGGAGGCGAGAGCAGCCAAGGCAGAGAGGAGAGCCTGGGAGGCAGATGCATCTGAGTCAGGGGGGGGAGGGGATCGCGATGGCCGGGCTCCTCCCGGGTGAGCGGCAGGGTGGGGATGGACGCCCTTCACAGCATCATCATGGGGGTTCTCAGCAGCGTCATCAGGGTTGACAGCAACCATATTGGTGGAGTGAGGAGTGGCAGCAGAAGCATGCTGGTGATCGTAATAGTGACCGTCCCTGGTGCCAGTGGACAGAGCATGTTCACTCACCCCGTCCTCCTCACCCCCCTCCGCGCTTCTGCCCTTGCTCTTCCCACTATTACTCTCCTGGCTAATGCTCCCCCCACCCCCGCCCCTTGCTTCCCCCTCTCCATGCACTGTGCTGCTGCTGCCCGGTCCACCGCGAGGCTCGGAAACATACAAGTCAGCGGCAAGAGGCTCGGCACAAGAGGAGCCAGTAGACTTAGGTTCAGCAGATAACGACTCAACGGGATCGCACGTGGCAGATGCACATGAAGTACCACATTCTGCATGCTCTTTCAACCCTCGTCTTGCTGACGTGGCATCAAGTGCTGGTTCGTTTGTCAGCGACGAGTGGCATGCTGACGTGGCAGGTGCTGATGACACTGATGTGGCTGCTTGCAGTGATGCTGACGTGGCAGCGGACAGGGTAGTGAGGGTCAGCAACTTGGCAGCCTGAAGAGAGTAAGGCGAGGGAGGGGCGAGGAATGTGGGTGAAACAAAACAAGTGGGTGGGTGGTGGTCCAAATATGAGGAAGAAGGAAGGGGGAATGAAAGACGAAACGAAAGGCAAGGGGGAAAGACATGAAAGCGAGGTGTGGGATCAAAGAGGGAGGAAGTCAGAGCAGAAACTTCGAGAAAAGCCCCAAGCACAGACTCATGCAGAGCGGCCAGCATAGCTCGCGTAACCGTAAGAAGGATGGGGTACACAGCATGCAAACCGTAACCATAACTGTAACCGTAGCCGTAACCCCATCCTTCTATAGGAGCCCAGTGCCCCCTCCCCCCTCCTCTTCTCACCTGTCTGGCTGCCTCCTCCCGGACGGTAGCGATCCGATCCCTGCATGCATGCAGGGCATGCGCGTGAACAGTGGTCATGGGGGAGGGTGGGAGGAAATGAGAAAGAAGCAAGGATGAGGGTGGGAGAAAAAAGCAGAGTAGCGATGAGGGAGTAGTGCGGGTAGAGGAGCAGTGCTTTTCAGTTGGACCGGTTGTCACCTGCACTGGTTGTCACCTGCACTGGTTGTCACCTGCACTGGTTGTCACCTGCACTGGTTGTCACCTGCACTGGTTGTCACCTGCACTGGTTGGCACCTGCACTGGTTGGCACCTGCACTGCTTGTCACCTGCACCAGTTGTCACCTGCACCAGTTGTCAACTGCACCAGTTGTCTACTGCGCTTGTAATCCTCACTGGGTTACTTCGTGTCCTGGCTGCTACCAGCAGCAGTTGTGACCTGAACCAGCTACCACCTGCACTCATAACTCACACTGGGTTGCTACTCGTCGTGGCGACTACCTGCATCCGATGTGACCTGAAACAGATACCACCTGCATCCTAGGTGACCTGAAACAGATACCACCTGCATCCGATGTGACCTGAAACAGATACCACCTGCATCCGATGTGACCTGAAACAGATACCACCTGCATCCGATGTGACCTGAAACAGATACCACCTGCATCCGATGTGACCTGAAACAGATACCACCTGCATCAGTTTGCACCTGCAGAGGGAGAGAGCGAGGTCGATGAGGAAAGGTAGGGCGGCGCTGTTGGGTGGCAGCAACTGCGCCACTCCTGATGCTTGGCTGGGGTGGTGGGGAGGGGGGAAGACAGGGAAAGAGGGGGAGAGAGGGGGAGAGAGAGTGGAGAAGAGAGAGTGAGAAAAAAGTAGACGGAGATGGTAGGGAGGAGAGAAGGTACACCAAGTCCAGTGAACAGGGAGTGCAGCCATGTGTCCTCCGTTTCCTGAGTGGAGTCAGCGAGTCAGCGAGGCCCCACGGGTTTGGAAAGCGGGTGAGTGGGGACCCTGTAGCTACAGCCTACACGGTTTCACCCGCCCTGGCTGTATGGGCAACTGTACTCACATGAGTGCAGCCAGGCGGAGGTGCCACCTGCTGCCAACACAGGGTGCACCACCTCTCTATTTCCTAGCAGGGATTTCCCAACTGTGAGGTCAGGCAACAACCTGACCAGCTATACAGCCGCCCACCTGAGAGCAGCAAGGCGCATGTGCCAGCTGCTCTCTCGGCCGGCCACAATCGGGTTGCTGCCAACACAGCCCACCTGCTGGTGCGTGCATCGTCCTCACCCCAATTCTACATCCAGGAGTACAGCCGCCCACCTGAGAGCAGCGAGGCGCAGGTGCCAGGAGCTCTCCCGGCCGGCCACACGCATCTGCGGGCGCACGCGGTTGCGGCTGGGGAGCGCCCTCAGCTGCACCTGCACACTCGGGTTGCTGCCGCCCAGCACCAGCGGCCTCGGCGAATCCGCTGCCGCCACGTGGATGCGCACTGTGTTGGGCGCCGGCGTGCCCACCTGCACCTGCAGACGATACTCGCCGCCCTGCTGGCCGCTGCTGATGGGTTGCTGGTGCAGCTGCTGTTGATCGCTGCTGCTGCTAAGGTGCTGTTCCAACGGCTGCTGACTGCTGCTGCTGGCGGGTTGCTGCTGCAACAGCTGATGGAAGTTACTGGTAGACTGGTTAGACTCCTCCTCGAGCTTCCCCGTGGGACTATCATGATTTGGTCCCTCCTCCACATCCTTCCCTTCTCTTCCTCCTTCATTCCTCTCTTCCCTGTTGCCTTGTTCCTGCTCCCTTCTCTGACTTCCTTCCTCTCCCATAGATCTGTCGTCCTCCCTGCATTCGTCCCCCTCAAGCTCCCCCTGGTCCCCTCTCAACTCAGCCTGCGACCCCTGCACTTTCCTCTCCGCTTCTTCTGCTGCCTCTGCCCCCTCTGCCCCATTTGCCCTTTCTGTCCCCACTGCTCCTTCTTCTCCCTCTGCCCCGTTCCTCTCGTTCCCTCTCCCACTCCCCTCGCTCAACCTATTTTCATTACTCACACTACCCTCAATCACACCATCACCACTAGTACTACTGCTCTCACTCCCCTCATTCAAACTATCATCACCACGCCCCTCACTCCCCTCATTCAAACTATCATCACCACGCCCCTCACTCCCCTCATTCACACTATCATCACCACGCCCCTCACTCCCCTCATTCAAACTATCATCACCACGCCCCTCACTCCCCTCCACATCCCCCCCTGCACACTCACGGCCCACCTCCTCTCCACCGCCATCCACACCTGCTCCTCCAGATGCCACCTCCCCTCCCTTACCCTCCACGCCTCCCCCAAATGCCACCTCCCCCAGCCAACCGCCTGTCCCAAGGCCACCCAGCCCACTCACAATCTTCGCCCACAGCCCACCGCTCTCCTCCCTCGCCTCCTCCCTCGCCTCCTCCCTCGCCTCCTCCCTCGCCTCCTCCCTCACCTTCTCCCTCGCCTCCTTTCCCTCACCACCCTGCCCAACTTCCAGCCGCTCCCCCTCGTTACTGTCACATGGATTTACCTCTCTCTCGTCACTGTCACGCGCGCTACTCCCACCCTCAGCAGCAGCCCCATCCGCAGCACCAGCCACGAGGCTCCTTGGCGGCGGTGGGTACCGAGGGCTATCCACATACTCCTCGCCATATACACTTGCCCCTTGTAACACACCACTACTTATAACAATTCCCTCTTCAGAGGGGCGTGGTGCCACAGGACTCTCTGCAAGGCAGCTTTCCACATGCGCACTCGGGTCCAAGGGAGCGATCACGAGTCCCTCTGGTCTCTTCCCCACTCCCTCTGCGCCTCCAGCAGCACCAGGCGCTGCTGCTAACGCACAAACCTCTTCCCCCTCACTTCCCCCTCCTCCCTCTCCTCCCTCAATCCCCTCACCTTCACTTCTCTCTCCTCCCTCCCTTCGCTCTCTGCCCTCTGCTGATGCAGCTGCCGCTGCTATTGCTGCTGCCTCTGCAGCCTCTGCAGCGCGCTGAGCTGCCATCTCCTGAGCGTGGACCTCCTGGGGCGAGAGCCCCTGGCGCCACAGCAGGCGCGGCAGCAGGCGAGCGCAGTGCGGGCGGTGGGAGGCGGGCAGACACGCCATGAAGGCCGTGAATGTGGGCACCAACGCCATGCGCACCTGATGGGGAAAGGCATCGGCAGGCAGGAACTCCGATAAGCGTTGAACAGTTCATGTCACCAGCGTCTTACACCCAAACCCCCATCATCCCTCCTCACACCCACCTCGTCCTCGTCACACACCAGCGCCTCTAGCTCGGGCAGCGGGCAGCAGGCAGTGGGCAGCAGGCAGCAGGCAGCGGGCAGCAGACAGCGGGCAGCAGGCAGCGGGCAGCGGGCATCCCTCCCCTGCCACCGCTACCCCCTTTTCCCTCCCCCCTACACCCTCCCCCCTCCCGTCTCTTACCCCACTCTCACCTCGTCCTCGTCGCACACGAGCGCCTGGAGGGCGGGAAGCAGGCAGCGCACCGTGATGGCCGGCCCCAGCAGCCCCGCCAGCTCATGCACGTGACACGCCAGCGTGCGCCGCACCGCCAGCTGGCACGGCGCGATTGGCGGAGAGGAGAGCAGGAACGGGTTCGAGGGAGGAAGAATGGGGGAGGGAAGGGATGGATATAGAGAGAGTTGACAAGAGAGAGTTGACAAGAGAGAGTTGACAAGAGAGAGTTGAGGGGGGAGTGGTAGACAGCATGCACTCACGTGGGGCGATGAGGGTAGCGCCATGCTCCTGAGGTCAGCGCCATGCTCATGAGGTCAGCACCATGCTCATGAGGTCAGCACCATGCTCATGAGGTCAGCGCCATGCTCATGAGGTCAGCACCATGCTCATGAGGTCAGCACCATGCTCATGAGGTCAGCGCCATGCTCATGAGGTCAGCGCCATGCTCATGAGGTCAGCGCCATGCTCATGTGGACAGCAGTGCTTGCATCGAGACACTGTTCGCATGCGGGCTGCTACTCAGTTCGCATGGGGGGATGCCAGCTGCTCACATGGGGGTCACTGACTCGCTGCAATGAGGAGGTCACTCACATGGGGTGAGGCGAGCAGGTGGCCGTATGCTGCCTCCAGCTCCCACCAGCGCGATGGGCCCAGCCCCACCACCACCGCTGCCAGATGACGGGGGAAAAGGGGGTTGAGGGAAAGGCGGATAGGGAAGGGGAGGGGGAAGGGGGAATAGGGAAGGGAAGGGGACGAAGAAAGAAAGGAGAAGAAGTGAATGGAAGGGAATGCACAGGGCTGAATGGAAGGGTGTAAGGGAGGTGACGAGTTGACTGTTGACCCGTTTTTTTCTTGGAAAAACTGCCATCCAAACAGCATGCCAGGGCAGCCCAGTACCTCATTTCTCAGAAAAAAAAAAAGGCAAACCTGAGCCTCATGTCAAGCCCTACCCCCGACTCGCGCCTGGGATGGGAGGCACATTCTAACAAACAATCCCACCTGTTGCTGCTAGCAACGCTGTTCCCACGTGGGAAGTTGAAGGCGCAGTGAAGCGGCAGGCGGTCATCATCGTCAGCATCGGCATCGCCACCATGGCCCACGGGCACTGGTGGCCCTATCATGTCATCGCCACCATCGCCCATGGGCACTGTCATGTCATCCAAACAGCATGCCAGGGCAGTACCTCGTCGCTCAGAAACTAAGGGCAAACTGAGCTTCATGTCAAGCCCAGCTGTTACTCCCACCTGGGAAGTTGAAGGCGCAGTAGAGCGGCAGGCGGTCATCGTCTGCATCGCCATCGCCATCATCACCCATGGGCACTGGCTGTGCCATGCTCGTAAACATGTGCACCAGGTCCTGGATGAGAGCGGTGGGGAGGGGTGTGTAGGGGTGTGAAGCGGTGTGGATGGGTGTGAAACTGTGTGAAGGGGTGTGAAGCGGCGTGAGAGGGTGTGGTGGGTGGGAAGAATGAGTTGAGGAAACATGGGAGTGCACGCAGTGGGCGCTGGGGAGGGGCGTGGAGGGGCGAGGAGAGGAGCAGCTAGGGTGGAAGAGCAGGGCTTGGATGAATGGGCATCTGGAAACTTGCATTGGATGCTTGCAGGAGGAGTTGACTTTTGAGTCGACTCAAAAGTCGAGAATGGCATGCATGGCATGCATGCAGGCAGACGAGGGACATCACCCTCCCCGCAATGGCAAGGTGGGGTCCGAGAGGAAAGGCAATGCGAGGAAACGTAGAAATGGGAAACACGAGGGGGATTTGCAAGAAAGGAAACGAACAAGGGAGGTAGAGTGATACAGCAGTAGCAAACCAAGGCTTTTCTTCCTATATGGTGTCCACGTTTTCCACCCCTCCTGGCATCCCTCCCTGCTCTCACCCGCATGTCAGCGCCTCGCAGCACGGACAGCAGCGGCCCCAGCATTTGAAGAGCTGCCTCCCGCACCCACGCTGATGGCTGCCCGTGGGGTGTGGGGCGTGGGGCGGGGCGGGGTGGGGGGAGAGGGGATGAGGTGTATGATTAGAAGTGTAGGGTGTGGTGTGAACACATGAAAAGATTTTTGAGGCGCCTCAAAAATTAGTGTAGGGTGTGGTGTGAACACAGGAAAAGTGGGCACGGGGAAAGGCTACTCCAACTCGAGGTGGAAAGATTGGAGTTCCAGTCCAGTTACCACATCATTCAATCCAAACCACACCACACCACACCACACCGCACCACGCTTACATCATTCGCCAGTCGGCCCATGAGCTCCCCTATGAGCTGAGTCCGCCGCCTCACTCGTGACACCTCCTCCTCCTCCTCCACACCCTTGCCCCACTCCTCTCCACCACCCTCCTCCTCCCGCCCAATCACCCCACTTCCCCCCTCCTCATTTTCCTCCTCTACTCCACACTCCCTCACAGCTGCAAGCGAGCTCACTTCATGGTCTCCCGCTTCCTCACTAATCTCCCGCACTTCTTCAATCTCCCCCCAACTCTCAGACCCCATTCCACCGTGCCGCACCGCTCCAGACACCATCCCACCACCCTGCACCCTTGACTCTCCTGCGAGCCCCACATCCCCCATACCGACTTCCTCAGTAGCAGGTGCAGCTTCTCTTGCAGCTTCAAGCCCCTGTGCTGCAGCGTTTGCACTCTCCACCTCACCTGCAGCAGCTGCCACGGCCCCTGTTCCTTCACCTCCTCCTGCTAATCCCACTCCCCCTGCTGCTGCCGCTGCTCCTCCCAGACCTGCTGCTGCCTGAGTGTCCCTCTTCTCTCCCAACTGTAATTCTTCCATAAGCTCGCCTCTCACACTCTCACTCCCACTATCCCCACTGCTCCCGCTGCTGCCACTACTCCCACTGCTCCTGCTGCTCCCGCTGCTGCCACCGCTGCTGCTACTGCTGCTGCTTCCCTGGCTGCCCACGCTCCCATCACTGCCACTGCTGCCGTTGCTGCTAGCAACACTGCTGCCACCACTGCCAGTGCCGCGGCCGTCAGAACCAGCAGAGGTAGCCTTGGGCGCGAGAGCAACAGCAGCCTCTGCCACTGCCACTATGCCCTCTGCACACGCCACTCGCACGGCCCAGGAGGTGTCGGAACAGAGCGAGGTGAACAGGGGGAGCTGGGGGAACAAGGGCGTGGGAGAAAAGGAGAAAAGAAAAATGAAAAACAGCACACAAGTCAGATCAGACACGGTTAAGTGTCTGACAGTCAGAATAAAGCAGCCTGTGCCATTGCTACTACGCCCTCTGTCCATGCCACTTGCACTGCCCAGGTGGTATGGAACACAGCAAGAGGTATCAACCTGCACTGCACATTACTCTTTTTCTTTTTCCTTTTTTTTTCCCTGAGTGTGAGTGAAAGAGGCTGTGGAGGGGACAACAAGTCCTTCTGAATGCTTAGCACTCACCAGAGAGCCGTCCAGGCATGCAGCATTGGCCCCCATGGCCCTGCAGCACTGCGCCAGGCCCTCTGCTACTGCCTGCATGGGGGAAGGCGCGGAGAGGAGTACGGGGGGAAGAGTGAGGGGAGAGTGAGCAATGGAAGTATGCAGCATCTCTCCACCAGCTTACGGTCTAAGCGCTGTTAGAATCAAGAGAGGCGTGTGCCTGAAGCCAGATGACGGAAGGACGGAGGTGGGAGAGGGTGATGATGTGGCATGGGTAGAAAGGAAGGACAGCATCTGTAGAGACTTCTTCTCCTCTCAGTGCCCAACGCTTGGGAAGCTAAGAAGCGAGCGGGATAAAGCGCTAGAGAACGAGGGGGAGCGAGCTATGCTGAGCAGAACGAGCGATATGCTGAGAAGCAAAAGTGGGAGTAAGATCATGCCTGACCAGGCTGAAAGTGGAAATCAGCACCATACGTTATTGAACTGAACGTGAGTCAGTAATGTGCCATTTTTACTTGCACCTGAGACAGCAGCCTACCTTTCTGACTTGGAAGTGCACGTCAGCAGCGAGCGCAAGTAGGTGCGGCACGGCTCGGTGCTCAAAGAGCGGGCGACTCATCACCGCTGCACAGCGCACCAGTACCTGAGAAGGTGGGTGGCAGGGTTTTTTTTTTTTTTTTGCCATTCGACTTAAAAGCAGCTGGGTGCACGAAGAGGGAATGGCTCATCCACTGCCGCACAGTGCACCGGCACCGGAGAAGGCATCAAGCAGCAGGGGAGAGACTGGATATGCACACAGAGACACACGGAGGGGGGTAAAAGGGGGCCGAAGAGGAGGAGCGGGGATGCTGATGCTGATGCTGATGCTGCTGCTGATGCTACTGCAAACGGACCAATACCCAAAAAGAGGGTCCACTCCATTGACTCACAGAGGCAGCGCAGACACGAGCAGGCTGGGAGTGCGGCAGCAGCGCGAGGCGCAGCAGGGCATTGAGCAGCATCGCCTCCACCGCTGCATCCTCCTCCGCGCCGTATGCCATCATTGCCACATAGCCGCCCTCCATCGCCACTTGTACCTGTGAGGTGCGGGGAGGAGAGGCAGCGGGAAGGGGAAGGGGAAGGGGCACAAACCAGCATGAGCACGGCACCATGGCTTGTAGCTTCCTCCTCCGCTCCATACGCCATCATTGCCACATAGCCGCCCTCCCTCGCCACTTGCATCTGGAAAGGGGAGAGGAAGGGGGAGAGGAAAGGGCAGAGGAAGGGGCAGAAGAAGGGGCAGAAGGGCAAAAGAGCATGAGCAGAGCAGCATGGGCTGTGGCTTCCTCCTCCGTGCCATATGCCACCATCGCCACCTGCACCTGCAGGGAGCAGAGAGGCAGGGGCAAAGGCACAGAGGTAGCGGCAGGGGAAGAGGCAGAAGAGGGAGTAACAGAAGGGGCGGAGGAAAGTGCAGAGGAAGGTGAGAATGAATCAGCCATGGCCTGAGCAGCGCCAGCACTGAGGATAAGGTTTGAGGTGGCTGACAAGAGGAAGAATCTCAGAAGGGGGAGCGCCGACACCATGACCTAAGCCTTAGTTTCCTCCTCCATTCCACACCGAGAAGCGAGGAAGGAGGTGTGTGGGGGGCAGGCCAACAGGAATACCATCACCGCCTGATTCTTCTCTGCCAACAGCGCAACCATTCCACCCTACCCGTTCTCCCCTTTCTCTAACTCACCTTGTCGCCTGCACCCAGCAGCACCTTGTACGCATCACCATCACTTTCATCTCAGCAACACCCCAACCCCCACCCCGCCCCAACCCTCACCTCCTCAGCCTCGTCCAGCAGCAGCTGGCTCGTCACGCCCATCAGCTCCACCATCAGCGCACTCTGCGCCCATCCACTACCCCCCTCTTCCCCCTCTCCCTTCCTTGCCCTCCTGTCCTTCTCCACCCTCTCTCACCTCCTCAGCCTCGTCCAGCAGCAGCAGGTTCGCCATGTCCATCAGCTCCATCAGTGCCCCCATGCACTACCCCCCTCCCCTCCTCCTCCCTCCCTAAGTCCGATTCCCTGTCCATCCACTGTCCGTCCTGTGCATACGCCCCCCCCACTGTCTCACTCACCTCTTCAGCCTCGTCCAGCAGCAGCAGGTTCGCCACGTCCATGAGCTCCATCAGTGCCCCGCGCGCCCTGCTGCCCGCCTGACACGGGGGGGGAGGGTGGACAGGTAGGCAGGTGGGTTGCGTGGGCAGGGGATATGCATCGGATGCAGAAGCTTGGCAGGTTCGCCACGTCCATGAGCTTCATCAGTGCCCCGCGCGCCCTGCTGCCCGCCTGACACGGGGGGGGAGGGTGGACAGGTAGGCAGGTGGGTTGCGTGGGCAGGGGATATGCATCGGATGCAGAAGCTTGGCAGGTTCGCCACGTCCATGAGCTTCATCAGTGCCCCGCGCGCCCTGCTGCCTGCCTGACATGAGCAAGAGGGCAGGCGGTGGATGGGTGGATCCGATGGGTCGGCAAGCGGACAGGTGGACGGGTGGATGGGTGGGTGGGTGTGCAAATTGACAGGTGTGTGGGCGGGCACGCATGCATGCATGAGAGGAGGAATCTTCCTCATCCACAGGAGAGGCTGTTCCGCTCCTTCCTCAAGCACCGCCGCCAGCAGCACAGCAGCACAGCAGCTGAGAGCAAGCAGGTGGGAGAGCGGAAGCGGCCCTTCCCATGGGAACATGAGCGATTTCATAAGCGGGTGGCGCGACGCGACGGCATCGTACAGTGAATTCCTGCGAGGCACAACCAATGCAGCTGATTTGCTCGCACTACGTACTTACGTTGTGCACATGTGTATGCACATGTGGTGTGCATATTGAAAGCAATGCAGGCAGGGTGGACGGGTACAGGGAAGGGCAGGGGCACACAGCAGCAGGGGGAGTGCATAGCGTTGCATATGCACGCAGGCAGGGCGAACTGGTGCAGGGCAGGGCAGGGCAGGGCAGGGCAGGGCAAGCAACACAGGGGCGGTGCAGCAGGGCAGGGCGAGCAACACAGGGGCGGTGCAGCAGGGCAGGGCAAGCAACACAGGGGCGGTGCAGCAGGGCAGGGCGAGCAACACAGGGGCGGTGCAGCAGGGCAGGGCAAGCAACACAGGGGCGGTGCAGCAGGGCAGGGCAAGCAACACAGGGGCGGTGCAGCAGGGCAGGGCAAGCAACACAGGGGCGGTGCAGCAGGGCAGGGCAAGCAACACAGGGGCGGTGCAGCAGGGCAGGGCGAGCAACACAGGGGCGGTGCAGCAGGGCAGGGCAAGCAACACAGGGGCGGTGCAGCAGGGCAGGGCAAGCAACACAGGGGCGGTGCAGCAGGGCAGGGCAAGCAACACAGGGGCGGTGCAGCAGGGCAGGGCAAGCAACACAGGGGCGGTGCAGCAGGGCAGGGCAAGCAACACAGGGGCGGTGCAGCAGGGCAGGGCGAGCAACACAGGGGCGGTGCAGCAGGGCAGGGCAAGCAACACAGGGGCGGTGCAGCAGGGCAGGGCGAGCAACACAGGGGCGGTGCAGCAGGGCAGGGCAAGCAACACAGGGGCGGTGCAGCAGGGCAGGGCGAGCAACACAGGGGCGGTGCAGCAGGGCAGGGCAAGCAACACAGGGGCGGTGCAGCAGGGCAGGGCAAGCAACACAGGGGCGGTGCAGCAGGGCAGGGCAAGCAACACAGGGGCGGTGCAGCAGGGCAGGGCAAGCAACACAGGGGCGGTGCAGCAGGGCAGGGCGAGCAACACAGGGGCGGTGCAGCAGGGCAGGGCAAGCAACACAGGGGCGGTGCAGCAGGGCAGGGCGAGCAACACAGGGGCGGTGCAGCAGGGCAGGGCAAGCAACACAGGGGCGGTGCAGCAGGGCAGGGCGAGCAACACAGGGGCGGTGCAGCAGGGCAGGGCAAGCAACACAGGGGCGGTGCAGCAGGGCAGGGCAAGCAACACAGGGGCGGTGCAGCAGGGCAGGGCAAGCAACACAGGGGCGGTGCAGCAGGGCAGGGCAAGCAACACAGGGGCGGTGCAGCAGGGCAGGGCGAGCAACACAGGGGCGGTGCAGCAGGGCAGGGCAAGCAACACAGGGGCGGTGCAGCAGGGCAGGGCGAGCAACACAGGGGCGGTGCAGCAGGGCAGGGCAAGCAACACAGGGGCGGTGCAGCAGGGCAGGGCGAGCAACACAGGGGCGGTGCAGCAGGGCAGGGCAAGCAACACAGGGGCGGTGCAGCAGGGCAGGGCAAGCAACACAGGGGCGGTGCAGCAGGGCAGGGCAAGCAACACAGGGGCGGTGCAGCAGGGCAGGGCAGGGCGTACCGGGGCATATGCGCGCAGGCAGGGCGTACCGGGGCATATGCGCGCAGCAGCTGCGGAATCTGCTCGGCGAGCGTCTGGCGGATCTCAGGCTCGCTGTCATTGGCCAGCTCCCTGCACAACGGGACAAACGCCGCCGCCGACCCGTCCAAGCCCAGCTTCCTGGCAGCTTCCGCCATATAGCATATGTGGTAGAGCCTGGTGGTGGGAGTTGTTAAGGAGGGGGAGGGGGGATTTGAGACGTCTCAAAACCCATCTTTCATCAGGGGGAAAGGTGGGGAAAGAACAGGCATAAGATTATTACATAGCCAGCACGGTAGGGACTGTTTGGGTCAGGAGGTATGGGAGGTGGCTTGCAAGGAGGTATGGGAGGTACTTTAGGAGGTACTTTAGGAGGTGGTTCAGAAGGTGGTTTAGGAGGTGGTTGAGGAGGGCCAAACCAGACTTGCCTTTGCACAAAAACGTCGCTGTGTACGAGCGTGCATATCGTGTCCACATCAGATAGGCTACTGTCCTCGTCAGCACTGTCCTCGTCCTCGTCACTGCCACTATCCGTATCGTCATCATCAACGGTGCTAAATGCAGCAGCATCAACAGCAGCAGCAGCAGCAGCCGCAACAGCACTAGCGGCCGAAGCAGCAGCAAATACACCAGCAGAAGCACCATCACTACTAGCATCAGAACCATCAGCAGCACCAACAACAGCACCACCAGCAGCATCACCACCAGCAGCATCACCACCAGCAGCATCACCAGCAGCAGCAGCAGCAGCAGCAGCAGCAGCAGCAGCAGCAGCACCACCACCACCACCACCACCACCACTACCAGCAGCATCACAATGATCCATTTCCGTCTCCACGCCCTGCCCATCACAATGTGGCACGTGTGCCAACAGCCTAAGGCGCTCTATGGCTCTCGCCCTTTCTTGCCCCAATGTTGGTACATTCCCCTCTTCTCTTTTCGTCTCCCCAACCCGTTCTTCCTCCTCGTTCCGCTCTTCCTTCTCTCTTCCCTTCTCCTCCTTTACTCTCCTCTCTTCCTCTTCTCTCTTCACTCCCTCCTCCCTCCTTTCCTCCTCCACTCTCCATTGCACCGCACCTCCTTCTCCCAATTTCGCCCCCTTCAGCTCCACCCTATCCCCTCCTTCATCACTCACGCCAGACGCCCCTCCATGTCCCGTTCGCCGAACCTCGTTGAGCGCAGGCTTCCCTGCAAGGGACCGTACAGCCTCCATCGCCTCCGCGATACTCATCCCCTCTTGCTCCGCACTGCCGCCCATCCCCTGTTGCTCCGCACGGCCGTCCATCCCGTCTCCTCCCACCCCGTCTGCCCCAGCCCTTTCCTGCTCCAGTTTCCGTAAATGCTCCTCGTCTCGTTTCGTCATCTCAGCTCGCTCGTCCTCCTCTCGTGTCCTCTCCTCTTCGTTTTGCTCTCCCTCACTTCTTTGCTTCTCCTCCGCTCCTCGTTCCCCCAGTCCCGCCCCACTCCGCTCCACCTTACCGCGACCCCGACTCCTTCCGCCGTAGCCCCTTCCGCGTCCCCTTCGCCGCGCGGGGAATGCGATCTCCTGCGCGATGGCTCTTAGTCGCATCGTCGCCTCCTCAATGGTCAGCAAATGCGGCTGCGCACAGTCTCCTCTCGCCCCGTCTCCGTCTCCTCTCGGCCCGTCTCCGCTCTCCTCCCGCTCTTCCTGCCCTTTCTTCTGCGTCTCTCGCTCTCCACCTTCGCTTCCACTCGTCTCGCTCTGCTTGGCTTCACCGTTAAGCGTTTCGACGTTTCCTGCATCCGACACTACCGATGCCTCCATGGCTGTTCTTTGCGCGTCTACGGCTCGTCGCGTACTTCGCCTCTCTCGCCAAAACTTCTCGCCACCTCTTTGTCTGCGCAGTATCAGTCAGTGGTGACTCGGATCTAGATTCACTGGATCTGCCACATGGACAGCATTCGTCGCCGATTTGTCCTCGTCAAACTTTCCCCGTGTTGAGCGCATGCGTCAGGTAGGAAGTGAAGGCGAGAGGCAAATAAATAACAGGCGCGTGTCTAGGTTGTGAGGCTGACGGGAGATGTTCTAGGTGAGGTGGTACTTTCGATGGACCCGTAATCGATCCAGAAGTTACACGCCCCATGTGACCTCTTCAGGCTTGTGCGAAGTTTTCAAGCAGCGGATTCTTAGTTTGAGTGAGTGAACGAAGATTCCACTATCGAAGCAAAACACTACATTGAGCTAAGGAATGAGAGAATGTTAAATAGAGAACTAGTGGTAATGGTAAAGAGCGAATTATGGGGTGCGCGACGGCCCTGGCGCCGAGGTTGGGAATTGTCGAGGCGGAGGACTGGAGCGCGGGTAACCAGCCAAGCCGTGAGGTTGGGTCGCGATGTGAAAAGTGGCGGGAACAGTAGTCGAGGCAAGTGTCGCGATGTGGTAACGGTTTACTGTTGGGTACTATTGGCGAGAACAGTCATGTACGCGGTAAGCATGGGCGCGAAGTAAGGAAAAGGAAGTATCCTTACACTACCCCCCTGCCCAAGAGAGCCCCCCTAACGAAAGGGCGTGTACGTCGCGCGGAAATTTTGGCTGCGCATGTACTTATCGAGGATAGGGTGGTTCTCAATTTTATCCAGGGGGACCCAATTATCTTCTGTGTGCGTGCGGTCCTTCCAGCGAACCAGGAACTCGATGTGTCGAGCTCCACATGGGTCACGAACACGATGGCTCAATATTTTTTAGGGTGATGACTGGTTCGGTTGGCGGTCGTGTCGTACTGGACGGGCGGCTGCGTGTCAGTTGACTCGTTAACGAGACGTAGGGGCGGAGGAGGCTGATGTGGAAGGATGGGCTAACGTACCAGTCAGCATGCAAGAGGAGGTGGGCGGTGACGGGCGTGATCATGTCGGTGAGGCGAAGTGGCCTGCAATATCGGGGGCGTAATTTCGGATTGACGGGCAGGCGAAGGTTCTGGGTGTCGAGTAGTACCAGGTCGTTGGGTTGGTAAGTGACGGGGCGGTGGTGGTGGTCGGCATTGTGCTTAGCGATGATGTTTGATTTTTTTATAGCATCTGTTGCTTAGGTCCGGGCTGCTTGTAAATTTTTGGCAAATTGTTGTGCTCGTAGGATCGGGTTGTCGGGATTTGGCGTCATGGGTACGGTGGGGTTCTGTTTGTAGTTAAGGTAGAATGGTGACTGCTGCGTCGTTTCTCACGTAGAGTTGTTGTATGCGAACTCGATGAGTAGCAACTGCTACTCCCAAGTTGTCGGGTTGTCGCATGTGGCTCGAATTAACTGTTCCATTGTCTGATTGGTCCGCTCCATTTGACTGTCGGTTTTGGAATGGTATGATGAACTGAACTGTAGCCACGTGCCAAATTGCTGCCACAGGTTCCGCCAGAATTTGCTGGTGAATTTCGTGTTGCGGTCGCTGATGATCGCCGCGGGTATCACGTGCAGTCGGACGACCGCGGCGATGAAGAGTCGTCCTATTTCTTCGTCTGAGATTTACTTCTTGCAAGCTGCAAAATGGGCCATTTTTGTTAGCCGAACAACGACGACGAGGATCGCATTGTTTCCACTCGCCCCAGCCAGTAACCCTGTGACGAAGTCCGTATGTTTCGGAGGTGGTATCGGCTGCTACTGTCCCGCCGGTCATTGTCATGACGACTCCATGAGTTGGCAGGTGGGGCACGATGCCAATAGTGGTACTGCTACACGCCGGTCAGCATTTTGGGCCAATAGTAGTACCGCTGCAGCTGCTGTCGTGTACTTTCAGCCTTGAAATGTCCTGATGTGATTCCGCCATGTGCCTCCAATAGCAATAATTCCCGTAGTAGGGTGTAGCCCGGTACCCAGATGCGTACCGGCTTTTATATAATACACCCCTCGTGCTATTGCAAACTGATGCGAGTTGCCTCCAGTGAATAATGGGACTGTCTGTTAGCCGTGGGTAAATAGTCCTATGAGTAGAGGGTTGGTCTAGGCGAGTAGTACCATATGTATACGGGCAGTCGGGTGGGTTAGTCCGCCAGCGATATTGGAAGCACCCTTTTTGAAGTTGACCGTGTGATGAAAGTTTGACTCGAGGAAATCGAACCAACGAATCTGTCGTGGGTTTAGGTGGAATGCGCGCGGAGGTACTGTAGTGATCGATGGTCTGTTCGTACTGTCACGTCTTCGCCAGTCAAGTAACAGCACCACAATTTGAACGCGTGCACGATTGCGAGCACTTCGCAGTTGTGTATCGGGTAATTTTTCTCAGGCGGGTGCAGCTTTTGTAGCTTGTGTGCGATGGGCTATAGGCTGTTGCCGAAATCTTGTAGCATTACGTTCTCGATGGCGATGTCGCCAGCGTCAGTAACCACTTTGAATGGGCGGTGTGGGTTGGCGATGCGTAGCATGGGTGGTGAACAGAGAGCATTTTTCAGGACAGAGAAGGCAGCTTGCTCTTCCCCCCCCCCCCCCCCCCCCCCCCACGCAAAAGCGACCCCCTTCTGCAGTAAGTCAGTCAGTGGGGCAGTTAACCGTGCCATGTCGGGGACGAACCGATGCACATAATTAAAGAAACCTTAAAAAACTCGGGGGTGCCATGCCTTAATGGTATCCATATTTTTCGGGTCTATTTCAACCCCAGATTCTGAGATGACATTGTCAGAATCCCAGTCACTAGACCACTGGGATAAAAGGGCTTGTTTGTGCAGCGGGTTTGTGCGCCCATAACCCCCCAGGCGAACGCGCCTGTAAACCCCCCCTAGGATCAATCGGACATCCACAGTACAGATCTATTGACACCCCCTCACACTGGGAGGCCCAGGACTGAGCTCAGCGGCAATGGCCTACATGTGCATACACCAGGATTCGAACCCGAGACCACTCTGCTAACATGTAAGAATTCTAGACACTAGACCACTAGGATAAAGGGCTTGTTAAGTAGCGGGTCAGTGCGCCCATAACCCCCTAGGACAACGAGCCTGTAACCCTTCCCTAGGATCTACCGGGGATCACCAGTGGACCTCTGACAACCCCCCGCACTGGGATGCCCGAAGTGCACACACTGAGATTCGAACCCGAGACATTCGCTCTGATAACATGTCAGAATCCCAACCACTAGACCATTGGGATAAAAGGGCTTGTTTGTGTAGCGGGTTTGTGCGCCCATAACCCCCTGAAAAGAAACGAGGGAATGAATGAACTATGAATGAATTGGGTACAAGTACTAACCCTAATTGGGTTGTACCCCTTATGGGCTACCCCACTATAGCCTACACAATATGCATGAGCTATAATGTTCTGACACACCCCCATAGGCAAAGTGGGGGAGAACAAGGGGTCACAAGACCAGTCAAGCAAAGCAAAGCAAAGCAAGCTCAGGGTGGATCACAAAGTCACCACACATTCCGAGCACAAGTTCAAGGCCACAAGGCCAGTTCACATGCAGGAGTACATATATATAAAAAGGCTAGACAAGCAAGAGCAGGTATATATATATGTAACAGTACAAGCAAGGTCAAGAGGTGAGCAAGTGAGGCAAGGTAGGCACAAGGCCCAGCTGAGTACAGAAGCGCTGATGGTCACAAGGCGCAAGCGCCTTGGTGAAGATATCAGCAGTGTTGGCCTCAGAGGCCACGTACGCAAGACGCAGCTGACCACGCTGCTGCAGCTCACGAGCAAGAAAGTAGCGGAGAGCAATGTGCTTCGTTCTGTGCTCCAGTGGCTGCTCCCGACACAAGGCCAGCATGGCCTTGTTGTCTACGTACAGCACTAGAGGAGAACGAGGCGGCTCTCCGAGGTCAGTCAGCAGGTAGGTGAGCCAGCGAAGCTCCTGTGCAGCCATGGCTCCTGTGTAGATCTCAGCCTCACAACTGGAGCCGAGAACAGAAGACGAGCGAGTAGCCCGCCACGAAACAGAGCCGGAACCAAGGCTGAAGGTGTAACCCTGTGACGACCGCTGCGTAGCCTGGTCGTCAGCCCAAGAAGCGTTTGCGTGCCCAGTAAGGACCACTGGACTATGCCCTCCAAGCACAAGCCCCATGCCCGACGTACTGCACAAGTAGCGCAACACCCTCTTCGCTGCAGCCATGTGCTCCGGTCTGTGTCTCCCAGAAGCAACATAGCGTGCGAGAATGCTAAGAGGGTATGCAAGGTCAGGTCGTGTGCAGGTCATCAGGTACATGAGGCAGCCAACAAGCTCTGGGTACGGGCCACTCGGCTCTACGGACTCATCCGAAGGCAGAGCTGAGAGCGAGTGGCGAGTAGGCAGAGGAGTGGCCTGAGGCGAGGAGTACGTGAAGTCGAAGCGCTGAAGGACCTGCTGCACCATGTGTGACTGAGTCAGGGTAATGGTGCACTGTGCTCTGTCCCGGGTGATCTGCAAGCCAAGGTAGCTGCGCAGTTCACCCAGGTCTGTGCACGTGTGTCTCTTCTGCAGCTCGGACTTCACGTGGGCGAGTCCAGCAGTGTCAGCTGTGGCAAAGACCAAGTCGTCGACGTACACGAGGATGTAGAACGGCGGCAAAGAAGTGTCGGTGCGCAGAAACAGCGACGGGTCGGCAGTAGAGGGAGCAAACCCAAGAGCCGCAAGTGTAGTCCTCAGTGTGTCGTGCCACTCACGCGGTGCCTGGCGGAGACCGTAGACTGGCCGCCGTAGGCTCCACTGGGTGCCAGGAGGAAAAGACCCAGTGAAACCAGGTGGGCGACGCAGCCAGATCTCCTCGTGCAGGCTGCCCTGCAAGAAAGCAGTGCTGAAGTCAAGAGAGTGTAGCTCGTAGTCACGGTG